GGGGGACAGCGGTCATATAAGTACTTCTTAATCTCAGAATTTCTCTGCGGGCACTCGGTCCGCTGTACGATTAGAATACCCAAGCAACCAGAAGAAAATGCCAAGAGAGCTGGGACAGCCGTGGGTCAGCCAAGTTAGTCGTACCATACATCTAGTCTACTTGGCGATTCTCCGCCTCCAAAGCCAGCCAACGAGTCGCAGCAAGATTAGGTTCCGTCCCCACGTTAACTTTAGTAAGTGACGGAGTCGAATTGTGATTGTGTGGATGGTGGCGTGACGTCAAAACGGGGTGGGCGATTCCGGGATGGTATCGATGCGCGGTGAGGCTGCGGGGCATTCCACGTTGAGACATCGCGGTAAAACTGTTTGCAGTGCCAAGACATTAGGGCAAAGGCCTGTTGGAAGTGCTCCGGACAGTAACAAGGCGACAAATCGTGATGAGTCTTGACACAGGGATCCGAATGAAGTTGTCTGGGGATGGAGGAGAAGAATGGAAATGAACCAGACCAGACACGTGCGAGGAACTTTCCTAGCCAGCCACTAAAGTCTCAACTACTAGTAAACTAGCAGGGGAAGGAGCAAGTCGCTGAAACATTGTAGTTGTTACCAGCATTTGGTAGCGCCAGCTTAACCTGCCCCTCTTTTCAAGACATTGATCATTGATCAATGAACCAGACCCTATCTGTTCCGGGAGGCGCTGCCACCGCCTGACAGCTCCAGATGTCCTGCCATGGGGAAAACGTGTCGGGACTCGACAGGAACAGCTGGACCCATGCCGCCTGCAGCTCAACACCTATGAAAAGATGGTCGGTCAATCGACAGTAGCCAGAGGATTACCGTCAAGTGCTTTCTTGGAGGCTGAGGGCATCTTGCCGTACGCATTGCTTACTTGTCCTTCATCCCCGTCTTCCGTGAGCATCACGTTTTCGTGCCAAGAGGATAAACCACTCTTGGCGACGCGCGTCGTCCAGTCGTTGAAGGGGCATGGCACTGCCAAGAAGTGTTGAATGAATGCAATGGCAGCCGTCGTCCTGTTGTGGCGGCGGACCTTGCAAGCCAGAAATTTGGGGAGAGGTCGAGAGGTGAAAGAGAATGTGGTTGGTTGGTGTCGCCAGACTCTGCGGCGTCTGGTTGGCAATTGGTGGGCATGTTTGTTGGTTAAGCTTATCTTGGTGCGGTCAACTGGTCTCCAGCTCCAGCGCCCGTAGTGGATGGTGTCACGCCTATCAGCGTTTGCAAGACGCTGGGGTCCCCTGCAGCATAGGGCTTGGCGCACCAGACTTCAGCATGCCGATGCTTTGCCGTTTCTGACACGGTCCGCAACCGTTTGTTGATTGACGCCCCTGGTCTCAGCGGCGGCCGATTACGGCAGGACGGAGCAGTCTATCGAGTACTCCGTACACTTTTGAGTACAATTTTGACAAGTCAGCTTCAAACGTTCAATGTTGCTTTGTTTGTCCGGATTTTCTTTGTTTGCAAGCCAGCAGGTGCATGAGGGCCTTGCAGACAACGATAGCCTTTCATCTTGGCACTATTGGCGCTATTCTTGTCTTGGTGTGCTGCGGCTTCCAAAGGTTTCTCTTCTCCTTCGATGCCAAGCATGCCGTGTCTTGGCATGTAAGTGGTGTTGCTGAGCACCGGGTCGCCGAGTCACGTGGCCCCGCCAGCACCGAATGCCCGCCCCGAACGGCAGAGACTGTGCCTCCCCCGGTGGCGCAGCCGGCAAGTCCGATACCACTCCGGCGTGGTGCAATCGTGGTGCGATCGTGGAGGCATACAGGTTGGCCAGCCGTGGTTCACAAAGCCCATCGGAAGTAGCCAAGACTTCCGATGCCGGTTAGTATGATAAAGATCGATACGATACGCCACGTGGGCAGCTTAAACGTGGGTTGACGCGAGGCTGACTTTGCTCGGGTGTGGCAAGACAGTTTCTTCAGGCAGTGCTGCGTACCATGGTTTGGAACATGTGCATTGTACGAACCCTAGTACTATGACTTGGCACCTTTGCGAATTGAGACATGGCACATTTCTTGGAACGCTGGGCTACCTTGATGAGAACGGATATCCATAACGCAGTAAGGCCTGGCTCCTGTCCGTTACGAGTCTAGGACGCCAAATTCATTCCACAGATGTGCGGTTTCCTTACAACCTAACCAAATGACGAGTGAAAAGGAAAAGAAGAAAAAAAAAACAAAATATCTACACGTACCCACAATGTAGCAACGTCTATGTACAACAACAATATAATACAAAATTCCAACAGAACCCTCCCACACATCCTATTGTTACCCAGTCATGCCAAAAAAAAAAAATCATTACGAATTAAACTCCTGAATACTCCAAGCAAGTCACACAGCTTCCTTGCGTCAATGATACTCAATGATTCTCCCTCAATTATAGAGAAGCAACCAAAATACTGGCAATGACGCCAAGAATAAGAGACCCCACGGTAGGTTCCAGCAATGCAGCCTTGGAGCTCTCCGGAGTAACACCAGTGGCTCCAAAGCCAAGATACCAGGATCCAATGTCAGTCAGCTTGCCGCTCTTATCGAGGAATGCCGCATTAGCGCCAACATTAGAATTAGTGGAGCGGAATGCACCAAAGTAAGAGTAGCGACCGATGCTGTCGAGCTTGTCGAAGTAGTCAATGGTCTGGTTGTAGAACTCTTGGGTTGGCTTGAGATCCTGGTGGGCGTACGCGTATTCTGTTATCCAGATTGATTTATTAGGCCAACTACACGCGGAGGTCAGCCGAAACTTCTTCTTGCGATGGCATCGTCAATATTAAATGATTGGAATCATGAACTTACGTTGCCTCACGTTCGCCAATGTGCGATGCCAAGCCAGCAAAGTTATCGTACCAGTGAACCGGCAAGAAATCCCAGGTGCAATTCTTCTTGTCCTTTCCGGTGCTGACCAACTCGGAGCAATTACCCAAGAACTGCTTGAGCCAAGGCAGACTGTCCCATCCTCCAGTGCATGCCGGCAGGCCAAGCTTCACTCCCATCTTGCCAAGAGGTTCAAAGTTGGCGACCCATGCGAGGGCCGCATCTACGGGCTTGATGTTGCTGCCTCCATATGCGGAGCTCGTGTCCGGTTCATTGAACCCCAAGACGTGCTTTATCTTGGTGCCATCATCCATGAGCTTCCTCACGTCTGTCAGGAACTTGGTGTCGTTGGGATTGGAGCCGATGCCCCACATCATGGGAATAAACTCGAATTGATCCTGTGATAGGCTGGAATAGGCTGGTGATGGCGTGCTCTGGTAGTTGTAGTACCATATCAGATCGCTGCCTGACTGCACCCAGAGCTTGTTATCCCCAGCATGCTCGGCATTGGGCGTGAAGACGAGGCCACGCTTGGACGAGGCAGCGGAGCAGATCTCGACCAAGGGGATAATTTGTGCCAGCCACGATGAAGTCCTCATTACGAATGTGATGCGAATGAGGAACAGCTCGGAGTCAAGCGTCGATGAATGAAGGCGAAACGAAAAACCAAAACAGGCGATTTAATGAACTGGCCCTGGAATTGCGTTGGCATCAGGCGCGCGAGGTTATCGTCAGCCCTATTGTCGCAGTTTTTCTCGGTGTTTCTTTTCAAGCGCAACGCGGATCAATGGTGTTGCGCCGAAATGACAGCGCCTACGACGGAACCCAAATCAAAAAGAACGAGGAACAAACAAGAAAAAATTGGTGAAATCGAGCGGGAAACGACAGAGGACCGGCACAATTACTCAGTCACCGAAATGAATGATGGTAGTGACAAGAAAGGAGGAAGAGCGCACTGCGACCAATTTTTATCTACAGTTTTGGCGACGTACATCAAAGCGTTGAGCCTACTGCCCTGTCTCGATGCAAAGTTGGCGCTACGCAGGCAACCAGCGGCTGATTATCAAACAAATATTGGACAAGGGGTCCAACCCGTCTTTGCCATGATACGAGCTTCGAGATCTGAGCCCTGGTCCACCAAGTCCACCACCAGCGGCTTGGCACAAGCAACCGCCCCTAGCTACAGGTACTCTGGGCACACCAAGCCGGGCGAGGTCGCAGAGGTAACCGTGGATAGCGAGGCCGGTGGCTGCAGAACAAAGACAGTTTGTGTCCAGTCCATATTGCTTCTGGTGAGTAAGGGCTAAATGTGGTGTGGTTGGCTAGCCTGAGCGAAAGATCAGGGGATATGCTGACGCCAAACCCGGTGAGGCAACATTGAACGCTATTTCGGGCAGCTCGGCAGCCTGGACCACCTTGTCACGGTTCAGATGTGGGCGGGCAATTCTTCAGCAAGATGCAACCTTCTGGACCTTGGTTGGTTGGGTTGGCCATCACCGATGCTGTGGCCTTTGTGAAGGAGAAGCGAGCAAAAATCTCACAACACGACGGTTGCAAACGATGCAGCGTGTATTTTCTTCGATGGACCTGGGTTGATCTATCCTCGAGGTGAGCGCTTGACTCGGCGCGGCATGTTGTTGGATCCGTCTTGAAAGGTCGTCGGCAATGGGACATGAGAGTACTCGAGGTGCAATTGTGTGGAATTGATCTCTTCTGTGCCAAATTGCGTACTGAAATAAGTGTCTTCATTCCGACCTGGGAAGTGTTGCAGGCTTGCACCTGCCATTCAAGTGGTTAGAAATACTCCGCCCGTTCCCTCCTTCCCCGGATAGTGGTCCAAACTTCCACCGGAACCAGCCACCGGCAGCTGGTGGCGAGCTGTAACTGGTAGGTACTAGTTACTACCTACCTGGAGGCAGGCTAGGTAGTAAGCATTTCCGTATGCCGTCACTGGCCTGTCGGTATGTACATTGCCTCGGCTCAACCCCACAATCGAGCTCCCTCGGCCCTGTACGGTTAACAACATTCAATGTTCCAGTTTCCACATAAACGGGCCCTCGGCCACCTTTGACGCTTCTCGCATCTCAAGCTCTTTCATCAAGTTTGGACATTGCTTGGCCACAACATTCCTTACCATCCGTCTGAGTTGAGGCACTTGTATTATTCAACACAATGGCTGTCGAGCGCATCGGTTCCATCATCAAGCACCTGGCCCCGGGGTCGGCCATCAATCAGATGTAAGCATCAGTGGGCGTCTTGTGCTGCAGTCTCTCTGACATACTTGCACAGCCAGTCCAAAAATCCTGATGATATTGTCATCACTCTCGCGGTCCGAACACCGCTCACCAAGGCACGCAAGGGTGGTTTCAAGGATACGAGCCTTGAGTATATGATATACGCTCTTCTGAAGCAAGTTCGCGAGCGCAGCAACCTTGACCCTGCTCTCGTTGAAGACGTCTGCTTCGGCAATGTATGTTTTGTTGCCTCTGACTGATATGTGCAAGACAGAAAATAACATTTGTCCAAAATCAGGTCTCCGATGGTAAAGCCGCCTACAAGCTTCGTGCCGCAGCTCTTGCCGCCGGCTTCCCCAATACCGCCGGTGCGAGCACTGTCAACCGATTCTGCTCCTCTGGATTGAAAGCAATTGCCGATATTGCACACGCCATCTCGAACAACTCGATTGAGATTGGTATTGCCGGTGGTGCTGAGCTCATGTCTGCCCCAGGCGATCGTCTCGAGCAGCCATTCGACGAGACCATCCTCAAGGCAAGCCAGGATGCAGCCGACTGCATGCAGCCCATGGGCTGGACCAGCGAGAATGTCGGTCGCGACTTCAATATCCCCAGAGAGGAGCTGGACAAGTATGCCGCCGAGAGTTTCCAGCGAGCCGAGAAGGCCCAGAAGGCTGGCTGGTTCGACCCGCGGCCCCCCCCACCCCCGCCGGTGCGAGCACTGTCAACCGATTCTGCTCCTCTGGATTGAAAGCAATTGCCGATATTGCACACGCCATCTCGAACAACTCGATTGAGATTGGTATTGCCGGTGGTGCTGAGCTCATGTCTGCCCCAGGCGATCGTCTCGAGCAGCCATTCGACGAGACCATCCTCAAGGCAAGCCAGGATGCAGCCGACTGCATGCAGCCCATGGGCTGGACCAGCGAGAATGTCGGTCGCGACTTCAATATCCCCAGAGAGGAGCTGGACAAGTATGCCGCCGAGAGTTTCCAGCGAGCCGAGAAGGCCCAGAAGGCTGGCTGGTTCGACGACGAGATTGTTCCCATTTCAACCAAAGTCAAAGGTCCCGACGGCGAGGTGAAGGAGGTGACCCTGACCAAGGATGAGGGTATCCGACCAGGTACCACCGCAGAAGGCCTCGGAAAGGTTCGAGCTGCTTTCCCTCAGTGGGGACCTCTGACTACTGGCGGCAACGCCAGTCAGGTCACCGACGGAGCTTCTGCCGTGATCCTGATGAAGCGATCAACTGCTGTTAAGCTCGGCCAGCCCATCCTGGGCAAGTACGTCGGTTCTACCATCGCCGGCCTTGCGCCCCGCATCATGGGCATCGGACCAAGCATTGCTATTCCCAAGCTGCTTACTATTCACAACATCGCTCTCGCTGATATTGATGTAGTCGAGCTTAACGAGGCCTTTGCTACCATGGCCGTCTACTGCCGTGACAAGCTGTCCCTTGACTGGACAAAGATGAACCCTCGTGGTGGTGCTATTGCTCTCGGCCACCCTCTGGGCACGACTGGCGCCAGACAAGTCGTGACTGGACTGAGTGAATTGAGACGCCAAAAGAAGAAGATTCTCCTTACTTCCATGTGCATTGGTACCGGTCAGGGCATGGCTGGTCTGTTCGTTAACGAGGTCGTATGATGAATTGTAAATAATTGTATATAATGAATTTTGAGCGTGACTTATTCTACTTCATGAACTTGATCACAAATCTATCCCTCACACGTATTCTATTAAGCACTCAAAGCCTGTGGCTGCGCTGAATGCAATCCTTAGTCTACAGTCTCCATAAAATGCTCCTACATATGCATTGATGTATGGCTGCTTCTCACACAACAGCTAGGGCGCTGGATGGAACGATGGGACTTGGTTCTCCTGACGGCGAGTTACAAATCTTCTACCGGAGCAAATATACTCTCTCGATGTCCGCTGACAAATTGTAACAAGCCATCATAGTGTCCTTGACTCTTATAAGCTTGGAGTACCACTATGTACAGCGAAGGGTGAATCCTAATGACAGCATCTGTCTTGAACATGCCCATCTTCCACCGACAAGCTCAGTTCCGCAGCAAGCTTGAGGCTACGTTTCACAAGGAGAGTCATGTAGAACCTAGCAATTGTTCAGCCGGCAGTGTCCAAGTGTGTATGTCCAGCATACTGCCTTCTATGGCCCTCAAAGATCGTCCAAGGCTGATCGGAGACAAAGGCGCGAGTTTCGGGGGGGGAAAGGGAGCAATAAAACTTTCTTTGGAAATCAGCCACACTGGCCCAGTCATTTTGCACATGGGGCCTTTATCATCATCATGCACTATACATTTTCCCATTGCCTCACGACATGGCACTCTCCCACCGCCCCCTTGATGACCAACACCAAGTCATCGACCGCCGACAAAAACCTCAGATAGGCAGAGACGGCGACACAATGGCGCCGGTAATTCTCGTCCCGCACCAGCGTCGTGTTCAACATTGCAGTGCGATACTTGTCATGCCACCAAGCGTAAAAGTTGCGAATGAGAGGAGCAGGCAACCTCTCTGGCAAGGGGGCACCCGTCTTGAGCGAGAGTCGCACCACCCCCAACACGGCCATGACGTCCCCAATGACATGGTCGTCGACAAATCCGACTACATTGCTGAACCGGTCCTGGTACTCCTTAGGCAGTGAGCCGGATACGTCCATCAGTCGTTCGAGCGACCGATTGATGGCGAGGCACAGCTTCTGTGTTTCTTTGAGCGTATACTGGTCAAAGTGACCAAACGTCGGCTCCAACGTGAGTAGGGCGATTGGGCCGTTGAGCGAGAGCAGCGTCTCGGCGAGGTCGATGGATATTTGCTCCGCCACTGCGCTCAGGGGCCTATTCTTCTGCCCAAGGCCCCAGTGGGACAGTAGAAGCGCGTAGTGGTCTGCAAGTGTGCCCACGGTGTTGGAAAGCGTTTTGCACACATGACTTCTAGCAGAAGGGGGCTTGGGGACCAGTTGGACGATGCAGGATGCAACAAACCCCAAAAGAACGGTGACCAGACGCTTCCAGAAGGCTTCGTAGCCCACGCCCGGCAGGCCATACTGTTCAATGTGGAAGTGATCGTAGCTGAAGCCAACGACGAGGGCATACGTCGCCCCTGTCATGATGGCCGCCTGGAGAAAAGCCGGGGGCAGGAAAACGCGCCACCAGACAAGAATCAAAATCATCAGCGCAGAGATGGCAGCCAGGCCGTACGGGTTTCCGACGCCAGAACCGGACCCGATGTACCATGCTACCACGGCCATGACACCGCCAAGGACGGTTCCCAGCCCGCGAGAGACGACGGAGAATGTAAAGTCGGCCATGTACGGCAACAAGCATGTTTGGGCGCTGATGACCCCCCAGATTCCCTTCTCGCGATAGAAGAACCCGGCTGAGCTTGGGATAGCAGCAGGTATAGCCGTCGCAACAGTCACAATGACCATGCGGAGAGCATACATGCCAGCGGGATCAAAGAGCCAGCGGAACGTGGCCGCGATGGCACGCGTTGCAGCTGACCTTTTCCGAGGTCTGACGTAGTAGCCACGGCTGATGCGAAGACGCCTACGGGCCTCTTCTGCCTGGTCCTGAAGCAGCACCGGATCCGCCGTGTTATCTGGATCGTCGGCAGCATCGGTGGTTGTACCAGAGACGGGCACGGAAAACCTACCGTCCAGCAACCATCTGAACATGTAGCGCATACGTGAAGGGATCCAGATGCGGTGGGTTTTCCGGGTGGTCATCAGGTGAAGAACATTCTCGAGTAATTTTTCCATCGCAGTCGCTATGCCGATGACTCGTTCCTCGATGACCATGGACACGACTATACCGCGAAGCAGCCGCGATCCACTCTCGACTGAAGGCTTGAGGTCTCCTTTAGCATCAAAGAGGTCCTGATGAGTACCGAGTATCTTTTCTGTCGTGTTCCTGACGCAGAGGTCTCGTGAGGAGCGCAAAGCGTCCAGCTTGGTCCGGAGCTCTTGTTCTAGCTCGTCAAACGACTGTTGTGAAGGCTGGCCGATCCAGCGGCGATTATTGACCGTGTTGATGCATTGAGCAACCAACTTGATGGACTGTGAGCAGGCTTGTAGCACGTCTGCGGTCGTGTCCAAGAGAGCCGCTCTCGTTTGATCTTGCACCTCGCCGTCCTCTGGACGTCGAAGGGCATGCAACAGCTCTGAGCTTTCCCTTAATTGGTGCAAACCGATTTCGGTTTCCTCGTGATTGTTCTTCTCTTCTTCTTCGTGGTGTTTCGCCAGCCTGTCCTCCTTCTGTATCACGTTGATACGGGAAATATGAAAGTCAACCATGGAGAGGCTCGCAATCATGGCCTCTCGGACAGGTGTCTGCAACCCCTTCACATCCTCCGCGTTCCATCGACCACGAGAAAAGTCGAGCGGCAAGAAAGCAAGCTCCGGCTGCATGGCCTTGTAAAGGCCCGCGGTTTTGGCCTTTGCCTCTAGTAGCTCCCCCAGGTGTAAGTCTTGGTCACCAAGGCGGCGTCTCGTCGCCTGAAGAGCGATTTCCTGAAGAAGCACCAGCTTCTCCATCTTTTCCAGAACGGCGTAAGAAGTCGACTGTGGGAAGAAGAGCAAACAGCATGCCGAGCCTAAGGCGACTCCAACGGCAGCTGGCTTGACCAGAATCGTGCCAAGTTGCGCCTGAAACTGGGGAACCGTCGGCCCAAAGATTAGGAAGATGTCTATATTTATGATGCCGAATAACTGCAGCAAGACAAACTTCACGTTCTTCATGCGCAACCGACACAAGGCGTATATGAAGACGCAGGACATGACGTAAAAGACAGCCGTAACGCGAGCATCGAGCATAAATCCCTCGTGTACCAGTACCAGCGCTTCCCGCGAGACGGGCTGACCAGTCTGCTTAGCCTGCGCGACGGCTGCTTGTTGAAGTGCGAGTAAGGACTGCTGGGTCTCAGAGTCCGGACGCGCAGCCAGAGCAGCCTTCATCGTCAAGAGACCCCATAGCCAGCCAAAGCACATGCCCAGAAGCAGAGAAAAAGAGGCCAGGACATAGACCAAGAGTATGCTTGCTGGTGGCACGGCGATAAGAATCAACAGGGCGAAAAAAGCAGCCACTCCAAGGTTTGTCAGAGATGGCTGGATGAGCATGAGCAACGAACTGACCCATGCTGCTACCCAGCAGCGGAAAACGATTTTGCCATCATGAATGTTGAAGTGGTTCAACCACGGGGGCAACTTCCACTGTCGCCGGCTTGGCCGGCTTGCAGCCGCATCTGGGCCCTCTGTCATGTTGAAGGCGCGTTTTGTCGCGAACTCGAAGACGGAGCAGCTAGAGCAAAGTCAGTCAGCAGGACGAAGGTCGATAGAGACTGAAGCTACAAATATGGCACAGTGCTCTAGAGTCGCAAGACATTGAAATTCGACTGCGCTAGTGTTTAGCTCGCCATACTGGCGGAAATTGCAACGCAACGGTTCCGGGACCGGGTCTGCCGGATGCAACGGGACGGCCATTGGTATGCCCGTCCTGCCATCAGGAGCCATGCTGTACTTCGTATAAAGGCCTGTGTTCTTGAAGATGGTTGACGGCGCCGTAGCAAGGCAATGGTGGCACGGTGGCTTTGGTGGCAACCAGGGAGAGCAGTTCCAAGTCAATGGCTGAGAGAAATGGACTGCTCCCGTAACTCAACTGCCGGAACCAATGACGGGCGTTTGGGGGCCATTTCTTTTCTACCCTGCTAGCCCTCCAAGTATTGCCTTGGACGTCCGTAAGCTCGTCTTCACAAGTTAATCCGCTGGTCATGTTCTGCCCGTCTTCATCTCCCTAGTCGTTTGGAGATATCCTGCTCAAATCCACAGCAATCTGCGTCGCAAACGCATATGGTTTGTCGAAACATGCATCCCAATCTGTCTCTCCCAATGCCCAAAATCTTTCCAGTACGCTTTTGGCCGCCAGCGGCACATAGGAACCGAGATGACAACTCAGTTCTGCCAATTGTTTTTCGATGAATATTTTCAATGCCAAATCACCGCGCGACGCTTCAACGCCAAGAACAATGAGTGGCCATAACAGAAATCGCTTCAGACTAAGGTTGGCTACTGTGCTCTCGAGAAGAGACTTCAACTGCTGCGTATGCGTGACACAGCGATTCCTCAATGACAGGTTTCTGGGGAGGACTGACGAGCTTTGTAGTGACAATATGCAGTATATTGCCGCAGCCAACTTGTAGATTGCCCCCAAGGTCAGCCAGTTGTTTATTGCCGCGGGTTTAGAACTTGCCCACTGCGTAGGCGAGTATTCTTCAATTCGCGCCAGTATTTCATACGCTTCTATCGAAAACTCTCCTGAGACTTGCCGCTCTGCCGCGCGCATTCGAAGACTATTCATCCTTATAATCTCCGCGAACAGTGGCGGAGGACACATCTGAAAGCTAAATGTCGCCCCTTGATAGTGCCGAATCATGTACTCGAGCTCTTTGACGTGGTTGTCCGTCATGGCAATGTCATGCGCAGGGCATGTGGTGTTCCCCAGCACCGAAACCCTGTGCCAAGTTAACTTTCGGCCCCAATGTTGTTCAGCTTGTTGGCATACCCTAAGAAACAAAGAAGGAGAGAATCCAATCTCTTCGATTTGGCTAGTATCTTTATTCCGCCACGTAGCGTGATAAGTCTCTGGATAGCTTCTAGATGGCATCTCCAGTTTGACGAAGCCCCATGTTGAACCTGGCGAATAATTAGCGTAGCCATAACGAATCTGGCAATATCATGGCTGACATCAATGAGCAAGAGCATGACAACTCCAGCAATAAACACGTCACTTATGTGTCTGCCTCCATCGGATGCGTCCTCTCTCAGGGATCGAATGATAACTCCTCTGTACTGGTAGAAGGCTTGAGCTAAGGCGCCATGATTGGGATCCAGCCCTAGTCGATTTATTCGATGGGAGAGGGTCGTGCAGACCAAGGTGAGACGCAGGTAGTCTGGAAACATGGTACCGGCCTTGATGTGCCTTTCCGATATGGCGTATACAAAAGGATTCGATCCCAGCTGCTCCATGGGGACCAGATCATAGTATATGCAACCATTAACTAGGAACAGCATTAGCATTGTTCAGCCATGGGTGATCTGGGTCATGTACAATATCCAACAGCTTCGCTTAAGGCGCAGAGATCAGTTTTCATTCGATGTCTCGAAATTCCTGTAACCTGGCCTTCACACGGCTTGATCGCGTGGTTCTGGTGTCGAGCTTTGGTGGACTCCTCGTCGGTAGCGACTACGGTCCTCTTGGACCTCTTGTTTCGCGACTTTACCCGTCCGATATCGAGCCATCTTAATCTTGCGGGTTTGATATCACCGTACCCTGGGCATATGGTACCAGATGCGACACACCTCTTGCAATCGGGTTGTGCCGAGTCGCACACGAGACAGCGTCGGCGACACTCCCAGCAATGGCGTTTCCGATCAGCCACCACGTCCGACATGGTAGATAGCAATGACCATGGGAGAAGATCGGTGTCTATCCAGAGAGCTACCTAAGCAGAAAATACTACCGGGTTAAACAGAATGGAAATGATGACTGATATTGATTCGGGTTTGAGTTTGTTGGGTACATTGTGGGTACGAAGGATGTCAAGGTCTGATACGTCAGCACAAACCATCTTCAGGTAACACAACTTAAGGCTGACGGGTGATCGGTAATAATTGCGACATGGACAGCCCCTGAGCTAGGATTGTAAGCTCTGAGCACAGATCTGAATGTGTGCAGTGCTAAATTAACCAAGCTCCCTTTATTTTCCTCTACGTGAAGACATTCTGGAAAAGGAGAAACATAGCTTCGCAGCTCTTGGCTAGTTCAACGACTGAAATAAGACGTATGATTTGTGTGCAGCCGCATAAAATGTAAGCGCCCTCATCCGCCGTGCGGGTGCTCAGAATGCCGAAATCACAGGGTTCCCAGGGATTGTAATCCACAGCTATCCGGGCTGGTTTGAAGTGTTGCCCTACACACTGATCACGCTACATCGTTCTTCTTGGAACTTTTAACGAATAGGCTAAGACCCTTGGTCCTGAAACAATGACAATTGAAGACGGTGAGCAGCGAGCAAATACCACAGGCACATCGTTGAAATCCAAAGGTTTTCTTTGGGCCAGATAGCTTCATCTTACACAAGTCTGAGAAATATGTGCCTACAGTTGGCGAGAGGCTTGTCCATGCTCCCGGTCAGATTGGCTGTAAAGCCTCTGCTCTTACTGACTTTGGGCGTGTATTATCTTCGGAGAGAATGGGATCCTGTAGTCTACCCTGCTGTTCATATTGCAAGTTTGCCTGGTCATTTTGCAAAAGCTATGAATTTGGATGATGCAATTGATGTGTATGGGTCTGCTGCGCTAAGTTCGGCGGCATGTTTCGTAGTCCATGCTGTAGACGTTATCGGCGGCGATGTCACTGAGGTATGTGGACTTACTTTGAGAAGACGATATTATTTTGGGGGGTAGAAGCATCAACAGGCTAGGGCATATGTGACGGATCCTGGGGGGATGGTCAAGATAAAGCATGGACGGACTGGTCAGTGAAGTAGTCAATCAGGGGAAGTGTTGCAGCTTAGCTAGTTAAATTTATTAGGAATATCCTGAGCATTATAATCGGGAATATATCGCGAGAGGGTGTCCAAGATATCGTGTACCGACTTGTTAAGGCATGGCTGGTGCCGATGCCGATGCAGATGAGAGGTCCTGCAGGAATGGAAGATTAACAGGTGGGGTATGAAAGAAGAAGAAGAACAGGCCGTTTGTATAACATTTCAGCTCCGAATGCAAGGAACACTTGGTGATGTTGTCTTGCGTGTTACTGACACATTTTCCGACAATGCACTCCTGCGCTGTCACATCATACCACCCACGTGGGAGAGGATCATTAGCTCCCGCGTACTTCCGCGACCAATGACGCCCAATGAACAGGCGGCTGACCACGATTTGTGTAACTCCGCTTCTGGTTCTGTCGGGGTTTGTCGTGGTGGTTGTGTTTAAGATGGTGTCGCGGCCTGGCTGCCAGGCTTGTCTCCATATGCAACCGATCATTTTTTGGCATCCCATGATTGCTTAAATTCCTGGTCGGGGTTCTGACCTTGTTGCATGGCAAATATATAATAAGCGGCGTAGGACTCCATCTCTTGTGACGTGGGCATATATGTTGGTGAAGTCCAGATCGGTAGAGCATACAGAGTCTGATTTCTGGGTGCACGTGCTGCCTTCTCCGGGGCAGTTCGTTCGCGCCTTCCATTCTTGGGCCTCAACGGTTTCCCTGCCGACTTGTCGTCGTTCGGTTAGTGATGCCGTGGTTCTTAGTGGCTGCAGCGGTCGCTTGACTCTGGCCAGCCCCGCTATTCTCGGAGTCTCCATGCGTTCAGTGACATCCTGTGCCCAAGGAACAAGGGACGTGCGGGCCGAAATTCGGATCGTATAAAAGTAGGTCAAGCCCCTTCGCGACCAACATATTGCGTCGTCCCTTGGTCCCTTTTGCTGACGCATCCCGGGTTGAGTTTCGTTTGATGATGCGCATCATTCACTCCCCTCATTTCTGACCCTGCATTGATCCCTTCTCTCGCGTCCAGATCGCTCGATTGCATGCTGTTGTGCCCTTCACTACTTTCGATGCATCAGGTACAGGGGTTGCACACATCGTACCCACCACTTTGGAAAGCCGTTTGAGCGCATCACGATAGTGCCCGGCCGCTCGCCTGCTCGCCTGCTCGCCTGCGATCTTGCCTCGGCCGCCAAGGCCAGTATAATCCGTCTTGTGTGCACATGATGGGGCATTCCTCTCACCATCGTGCGGACTCGTCCTCCAGCAAGAGCCACCGGCCAGCCCAGCCAAGCTCGCTACGTCAGAGCCACGCAGCTTCGAGTCGAGACAGTAGTCAGGACAGCGGCCCGGCATTTAGACAAGCAGTCCCGTCTAGGGATGACGCTGCTCGTGGCGACGCCACCATTGGCGGCAATACAGACGAGTCCACGCCTTTGATTCCCGACGGCGGAAGTACCGAACGCAGACGATCGAGCGCCGTTCACCCTGGAGTTTGCAACCACGGCACGTTTAGCCCTCGACCCATGACCCCGGACGAGGCATTTCCCATTACTAGGGACGATATCGTCACCACGGGGCCTGACGGACTGTTTGACAATTCCTCGTTCCAAGCATCAATCGAAGAGGGCTGGAAGAAATGGTTTAGCGGGAGAATTCGGACCAAGAGGATGGGCGAGACTAGGGAGCTCGCCCATCGAGCTGGGTTTAGAGATACGCCCTTGATGTGAATTTTTGCAAATGCCCACACACTCTTATTTGGCTTGCTAATAGTGTCGATAGGTATCTGTCCTACTACATTCCTTGCCTGAATTGGATGCGACAGTATAAATGGTCCTATCTCAAAGGCGACCTTGTGTCTGCCGTTACCATTGCGTCCTTCTATCTCCCCATGGCGCTCTCGCTCGCTTCCAACCTCGCTCATGTGCCCCCGATTCACGGCTTGTACGCCTTCGTTTTCAACCCCTTCATTTACGCCTTGCTAGGTTCATCGTCGCAGATGGTTGTCGGTCCAGAGGCTGCTGGGTCTCTGCTCGTGGGCACGGTTGTGCAGCAGAGCGTCGACAGTGGTGGCTCGACTGAGGATAACGACCTCGTTCATGCCCAGATCTGTGGAGTTGTGGCCGGTATGGCGGGAGCTACGGTTCTGATTGCAGGAATAGCGCGATTGGGTTTCTTGGACAGCGTACTAAGCCGCCCCTTTTTACGTGGGTTTATCAGCGCCATTGGCTTTGTCATAGCCGTGGACCAGCTGATCCCCGAGCTTGGTCTGAACGATCTTGCAAGCAAAGATGGCGCAAGCCACGGCAGTACCGTTGAGAAGATTGCCTTTATTGTCGAGAACATTAGCGAGGTCCACCATCTGACGTTTGCTGTCGCCGGCATCAGCTTCCTAGTCATCATGATTTTCCGGTGAGTCTTGACATTCCTTGGTGCTATGCGGTTGTTCGGGTTGCTGACAAAAGTACAGTGAGTTCAAGAAGCGCCTTGAACCTAGATTCCCCTCGGTCGTGTTTTTACCAGATCGATTCCTGGTCGTCGTCGTTTCTGCCATTCTCTGCTGGCATTTCCGCTGGGACAAGCAAGGTGTCGAGGTCCTTGGCGCCGTCAAAGCCGCCAACGGAGGCGTTTTTGCATTTAGGTGGCCATTTAGATTAGCTCACATGAAGCACATTCGCAGTGCCATGTCGACATCATTTCTTATTGCACTGCTCGGCTTCTTTGAGTCATCCGTTGCAGCCAAGAGCTTGGGAGGCAATGACGCCATTCAAGGCATCGAATTGAGCGCGAACCGGGAAATGATTGCCCTTGGCGCTGCCAACCTCGTCGGCGCGTGTTTTATGAGTCTGCCAGCCTTCGGAGGTTATGGGAGAAGTAAGGTGAACAAGACGACTGGTGGCAAGAGCCCCGTAAGCTCGATCCTGCTGAGTCTGATTTCACTCTTGTCCATATTGTTTCTGCTCCCGTACTTTTACTTTTTGCCGGTGAGTGTGTGCGTGCTCGTCAAGGTTTTGAATCTCTCGTGTCTGACACTCGACAGAAACCTGTTCTCTGTTCCATGATCTCTGTGGTGGCTTATTCATTGATAGAGGAGGCGCCGCATGATATTGCCTTCTTCGTCACAATCCGGGGCTGGACGGAGCTTGGGCTCATGGCCATCATCTTCCTGTCGACGATTTTCTACTCTCTCACGCTCGGCATGGCTCTGGGGGTTGGCATCTCGATCCTTCTCGTCATCAAGCACAGCACACGGCCAAGAATCCAGATTCTGGGGCGCATTCCCGGGACAAATCGGTTCGAGAACGCCGAGTCTGGCGACGCATGCCTGGAGTTTGTCGAGGGCTGTCTCATTGTCAAGATTCCTGAGCCGCTTACTTTTGCCAACACTGGAGAGTTGAAGGCGCGATTGCGACGGCTAGAGCTCTATGGAACCTCAAAAGTACATCCGGCTCTTCCCCGTCTTCGGAGCCAAGAATCCAACCGAAATATCATCTTTGACATTCACGGCGTCACATCAATGGACGGCTCGGGCACGCAGGTTCTTGAGGAAATTGTACGCAACTACCGAGAACGTGGTGTTCGAATTTTCTTCTCCCGTGGCCCTAGTCGACGAGATCACCCCGTCTGGAAGCTGCTGGAACGAAGTGGCATCGTGGCATTGAGTGGAGGCGAGTCGCATTTTGTGAATGATGTGGAAGAGGCATTGCGGTGGACAGAGTATGAGGACAGCATTGGCGTTCGGAGTGGTGGCAGCGGTTGAGGTTGACAGAGGAAAGAAAGAAATGCATGGGAACGGCGCATTCTGTTTTCAGATACCAGAAGCTTGCATACGGATGGTTGAAATCTGTATTGTGTTTTTTATCACGGAGCATAGCAGAGCCACGAATAGATGTCTGAGACGACATGCATTTTGTCTGTTCTCTACACCCATACTTGGCAATGAATCACGCCTTCACTCGCTCACTCATTCACGCAATGGAGAGGCCGATGCAAACGGCCAACATCTGCCTCGTCCTCCCAGTCAGCAGCCATCCCCACCATGATTCGCCGGCTGTCATGAAATTTCCAGATGTCCCTTCAATGTTGTGCATTCCGCACGAGCCATGACCCAAGCCATGCAGCCTGCGGCCAGGGTCCCACGCCAACGCCCCGCTGGAGCCCACCCCAAGACCACACACCAGTTGGTCCTTTAGTTCCAGCCCGCAAGTTACACAGCAAAAATAAAAAAATTTTTACATGGCCCTTATAAGTTGATTGTAGTCTGCTCCCTCTCAACAATCCAGCCGGACTGCTCCGAGCGAGGTTACCAACCGAGTTCAAATTCGCCCGGTTAGCTCAATCGGTAGAGCGTGAGACTCTTAGAGTACACGAAATCTCAAGGTTGCGGGTTCGACCCCCGCATCGGGCTTTTCCTATATGTCAAAGATGCGATTGAGAATGGGGTTCCGGTGGGATCTTCTTTTTTTCTTTTTGGCGTGACTTTTGCTGTTTATTTGTGTCTGGTTTGTTTGTTTTTTCTTTTTCTCCTCGGTTGATGGGATGCTCAGCGCTTGATGGAAGGGTCTGGTTGGAAAAGACCAGACGTGACGGGCAGTGCCATCTTCTCGCGGTTGGCAGCATCCAGTGGGCCTGGCTAGTGCTCAAGACGGCTGAGTGCTCCAGTCAAGTCTGTTGACGGTCAATTGATTTTCTCGACAGACCAGTCCAATGTCAGCTTACCTAAGCTTAGGATTTACGCCTACCGAAGTGGACGCGACACAAATTGGAGGGAAAAGTGTCGACGACTCCTCGTTTTGATAATACTCGGTGTCATTCAGCTTGCCGCTATTTTTTCCATTGTCAAGTGCGCTACTCTACGATTCTGGTCAGGATGGATGCAACAGCTTGGATGGCAGAGATGCAACGGACTGGCGTGTATCGATTTTCCTTGGTTGGAAATCTGACGCCTGCAAGCCAGAAACGGGCATCTTGATCAATCAATCAGCATCTACGATTGAAATTCTAAACCGCTGGCCTCTCCAGCAAGTGACGTCTGGTGGCACTGATCGTGAACCTGTCAGATGTCGATCCCGAATCCCGACTGCAATTCCATGTTGGCAGGGTGAATACGTGTCTGGCCGTCGAGTAGATACATGACAACATTGGTCCGAGGGAGAAAGGCCCTCCGCAAAACAGTGCAATGAATATAAATCTTGATGAACATTCCAATTTATTATAGAATTTTGTTTTGTTCACCACGAGGCTTGGGGGGTGACGTATGTGCACAGGCAGCATAGCGACCGTGTCGTCTTGGACCGCGTGTTTTTGGCTTTCGTAGACGATAGACTTTGTATCGAGACTCAAACGTGGAGAGAAGAGCGGCCGTTTGAGCATGCCATTCCTATCCCCGATTCATTCACCTTTGGGGATAAAGCCTGCGCTTGGTATTTGGCGAATAGCGTCTTTCCTCGGGAGGGAGACGTGTGGCTTGAAGCTTCAATTAAATACTCCAGACGGCGACTGACTAGAAGACGATTTCACTTTATTCAAAGTTTTCATCATGAAAAGTAAGTTTCCAGAAGCTGTTGGTACCCGCATATTTTGGCTTTTTTATTCCTGTTGCGTGGCAACAGCAACAGATGGGAAAAGTAGACTGAACAGTTCTCACATGCACAAAATGTACCATGTCTTGAGGCTTTTCTCTGCGTGTTTCACGTAGACTTGGACGCTCAGAACACCACTGCTAGCTCGCAAGTCGGAATTGACGCTCGCAGTGCCGATCCGGCCCGTGACACTATTCACTTGGTAGACTACGTAGATACTAACCTTGGGAGTCTTTGCTTGCGCTACTGTATGTTATTACATCGCTTTTTCAATATTCAAACGTGTAATAATACAAGAGTCTCGATTAGCACTTGTCCAGCGCAAGTGCCGTAGAATCGTCCATCTAAAGCTGAGGAGAAAAGGACGAGACCAAGTACGCGGCAATGTAGTTGCTACGCAGGTACTTGCGGCCAAGTAAATTTAACCTGCACACATTCCACAGCCCTCCGCATATCCCGTGATGGGGTGGATTACCAACGGTAAATGGACCTACATCAGAGTGAGTTGGGTTGGTAAAGCCAGTGTTGAGCCTGCGTAGCAATTTTTCAATTTTATCAAACTTTACATAAACAGTGGGGAAATATAAAGTTAATGTAGCATTTCCTTGTTGAATCTATCATGTAGTCTGTTATAAATACAACTCCTGTGCTCGTATCTAAAAAAAAATATACACGTATAAATAAGAGCCGTATTCGACATGTAAAATCATCTCCACTCTGCTAATACGACATACGATTACTCAAGTAAACGCCAGGATGAAGTACTCTGTGCTCTCTCTTGCCGCCTTGCTCACGGCATCCTCCCTGGCTTTCCCAGGATACTACTGGGGGTGGCGACAGGGCGAGGCCGGTGACGCCATTGTCATGAATCACATGAACATCGCCATCGACGTGGACAAAGTAACGCCGTCGCAGCTTTTCCGCCAGGTCAAAGCGACAGGAGAGCAAGTTTACTACATTGAGGCGGGGGGCGCGGCCAGAATCCCGGGAGGGCCAGTCGCGGACCTGAAAATCAACAGGCAGGTGGAAGTGAGCTATGTTGGTGGTGATGGCGGCACCTTCAACTACGCCATCAAGCCCCTCGATCACTTCCCCGGAGTCGTCGAGGTCACGCCTGATGGGTGTGAGCCTCTGGTCTGGCACCCTGGCGACCCGGAGACGCGTCAAGTTACATGCCCCGAGGGCACTGAACTCCCCATCAGACTGTATGGACCGTTCCAGGCTGGCTGGTATTAAAGAACATGGCGAAAAATGGCAATGGCGGCAGCTCAACCTGCCGGTGCCGCGAGAATTGCCAGGGACGGTTTGAGGATCGTCTCGTTTTGGATGAGGATATTTGATGTATAACTCTGGATAATGACCTCGAGTTTTTACTCAAGGATCTGTCCGTGTTTTCTACGTATTCTAGTTAATAACTATTAGTTATTAATACAGTCTGTGCCTGAATAAGGAAGGATTTTGATAATATTAGCTGCTTTTCTTCGTGTGAGGGCGTGGTTACCGTTTTGGAGGACGAGACCATGTTTGGCCTAGTGAAGAGTGGTTGTGGTAGTAGCAGCAGCGTATGAATAGTTTGTGTTTGCATCACTGTAAAAAAGGACTGCTCATAATTGCTGGCAACAATTTCATCTAGACACCAGACGGCCTCCCCGACGGTATCCATCCCGGGGGCATCGTCTTCAATAAACCTGGTCAGCTCGTAGAGATGGCCCTGCGCCTCTGCTACCAGCAGCTTCACCTTGTCTTCACCAAGGGAGTTCCCCATCTCTTCGCTCACTGCCAGCGCCACGTCGTAGTCGGCATCGCCGTGGGAAATGATGGTTTTTGCCCATGCGTAGCCTGGGTCAATGTCACCTAGCAAGCTCGATCCCACTGGTTCTTGTAAGTGTAGCAGTGGTACAGCATGCCCCGAAGATCAGCAGCGTCTCTTGTTGAATCGTCAGGGGTTTCGGGGCGAGGAGGAGACTTGTAGTCGTGGTTTCTGGAGCCGTCTGGTCCGAGTTTGTTGATATCAAAGGCAGACGGGTCGCCAGGAGGTGTTTCGCCAATGACGATTGGACCGGCGGTTATGGGCGCCATGACGGATGCCGGGATCGGCTTGAGCGTGAGCATGGTGGACGAGTTGAGGAAGTTGTGGCGGAAGGAGTTGATGCCCTGGGCCGTCGAGGGCGAGCGGTTTGACAGGGTGAAGGACATTTTGAAAGATACCACCGCTGCTGCCGGCAGCAATCACACGGCGTTTCTTCCCATCAGCCTGCTAGTTTCGGGCGAATACATGAGCTGCATTGACGTCTTCCACGAGGCCCTCGGACGTGGTCCGGGGCATAAGGCGGTAGCTTGCGCTCACAAGGGGCCATTTTCTCTCCCAGCAGGTCTGGCATAGAGGTCAAGCAGGTCAAACGTCAGTCATTCGCGCTCTGGATATACGTAGCCCTTGGTAAAGGGGGGTGGAAAACCAACCTGACCTAGCCACGGCGGCACTGCACTTCGTCCCCAGCCAACTAGCCCCCCAGCGTGAAAGTACAGAACAACGGCCGTGTCTGTGGGATAATTATCCACGGTAGATGTCGCAGTAAATCAGCATGCCGTGGTTGGCGAGTTCTTGAGTTGGTTTCTTCAACATGGTGCAAGTCGCCGCAAATTGGCGGGTTCCGCATCAGGTGTTGCTTTCAATCACCGACTTCTGAAGTTTAGAAAGGATGGTGTCTAGACCCAAGCACTCCTTCATCAATTTTTGAAAACAACGGCTTCCATCTTTCAGCAGCGCAAGCCACCGCAGGGGTCTTTGAGCTTCATGTCACGGCGTGAACACGAGGCGGGGATTCGTACTGCCCAACACCCCGGAGCCAGGCAACCAAGGCGCGCCCGATCGAGATGGTTCCCGTAGACACACGGAATATGCGTGGAGTCTCGGCTCTATATGGCAGGTCGATGGAGCTGCCGAGTTGGACTGAGTATGCTTCTTCTGTAAAGGCCGTCATCTGGCCCAAGAGATGTAGCCCCGATGTTTATCGCGCAAGACTGAAAGGCCTCTAGTTTTTATGAACAGATGCTCTGTACTGTCTGTTCAGTCGTTATATTGGTATCAGTCCTACATATGGCTCGCAATGTCAAATGTCGGTGCTTGCCACGGGTCGTAGAAGCCAAAGGCGAAACATACTTCTCAACCCTAACCCTAGCTCACAACACCTTGACGAGTTTGATCTCGCTGGATCATCCCTTCGTGACCTGCTTCGTCTCTCTATTAACTTTTGCCAAAAACGTATTTGCGCAGCAAGTCAGAAGGAGATAGTACGCTAATACAAGCTGCTGGTATGTGTACGCCATGCAAAAAAGACGACATGTGACATGTTCCTGTGTGACAAGCGCAGGATAGCTGGACTTGGAACAAAGAATCCAATTTAATCCTCAACAATCGACTTTGAGGTATCAAAGACGCCTGAATTTCCAAGGAGTCCTGGGGGACCAGAGGTGTCCATATGTACAAAAAGTCGGCGTACGATACAGGCCCGAGGCAGCCCTCGCCTGTAGTACGACCTCGGGCTTTGAGATGCCTTGTTGTTGTGTAACCGTTGTTGGTCCAACGCCTTTCTTGTGGCGTCAACCGTGTGACTGTTGGGTGAAAATGGTGATATGTACTTCAAAGCTGTTGGTCACGATAGTTGCTTTTTCTGGAGCTCAATTCAGAGCACAGATCGAGGGTGTCGGTAGGGGTCTTTAGGGGCTCTCCAGAGTATAAAAGGGGCCAATTTCCATTTGTAGTCAACAGAGTTCTTCAAACCATCACCAATGTCATTGAATTTGCTCGATCAAGACCGCCCAAAGCCTTCCGAATATGCGCCTTTTCCACTGTGTGAATTGCTGCGATATTTCCAACAGTGACATCATGTCAAATACACGGATGGCAAGAATCATCATCCCAGCAACGTTCGTAATGCTGGGAAACGGTCCTTTTCACCTCCGAGAAGACATCTGCTTCACGGGGTGCACAAGAGACTCGTCAGCCATAGACTAGGACAAGGCGACTCGATTGGCGAAGAAACTCGGGTAATCTTACAAAACGGTTATTAGCCAGCAAATTACTATTGACAACGTACGGAGTAATGGAAAGGCTATTATGTTGAATTAAACCCCCCGCCTTTCAATAATCCTGGTAACGCGTACATGCGGAACATTGGTTTCATGGTCTAGTTGGTCATGATTTCTCGCTAACACCGAGAAGGTCCCCGGTTCGAGCCCGGGTGAAACCACTTTTTGTCTGGCTTCGGAACTACTAACCGTTGTGTCCTTCTTTTTTGTCCCATTTTCATTCCAATCACCACGTCGCGATGCAGGCTGTGCAGATTTGTTTTGCAAAGGGGGTTCAATTGGTAGCCGGCGTAGAGTGAATATGGCACGTTGGCAAGCAACAGAGCTGGCTGTAGCTTCCCGCTTTACTAAGTGGCTCGTCCACTTGGTCGCTGATAGGTATATGTTAATATCAGTGATGATATATAATACAGGTGTCTCCTAGCCCTTAATTGGTTCACAAGAAGATACTCCAACAACTAATCAATAAAAGACGCCACTCACTTTTAGTATCGTGAACCTTACAATTTAGTGTTAATGCTACCAAGCCGGCCGCCGGCCACAGGGCGGCCCCCCGGGGGGTTGGGTAGATTACAGGCTCTAGCTCTCTCCGCTTTGCTTTTCCGTAGGACAACTTGCTCAACTTACTCGTTGACATCGGGGTCTTGTATTTTACAGTTTAGCAAAACAACGCGCGCGGTAATACGTTTCTGTGGATTATGTGACTTGTATCATACCTCCGATGTCTCTCACTCTAGCCGCAATGTTCTATTTTGCAATGCCCGTCTAATTATCTCAAACGTGTCGGGAAAAAAAAAGACATCATCTACCATGGGTTACCCTACAGGGTAGCACTCCATGGAGAAAAGCTCCATCAACTCTCCCGCCTATCACCTATAATTTTCACTGCTTTTATATATATACAGTCTATCATGCCCCATCATACACGGTCTTTCTACTTTTATTTCCACTCTACAATTGCGAACCGCCAGCAAAGTCCACCCTCAAGCCCAGCATCCGCTTGACACCCAGCCAGAGCTCAAAGGCCTCCAGCTTCACCTCCACCCTCAGGTAACCCAGCCACGCGGCAAGCACCCTCAAGCCATTTGGCGGCCAAAGCAGTGATCCCTTTTCCTGAATCTGCTCTAGCTGTTCATGGAAGACGGTGCGCGTGCAGTACCGCGCGAGAATCAGAAAGCTGCGAATAGGACCCTGACGAGTATGTAGGCTCTCGTCCAGGCTTCGTGTTAAATCGTTTGTTTTGAGAATGAGCAGGATGATGCGCGGCACCCGGCTGAGCATCTGGACTAGGTCGACAATGAGCCCCCCTTGGAGGGACGAGCTCATGTTTTGCTCCTCGTCGGCGCTGCGCGTCTGCAGGATAGAGCCCTGGTTACTGACGACGCTGAAGTCGCGTCCTGTGATGGCGGACGCGAAGAGGGGAAAGTCTTGGTCGCTGATGCCGGCAACTTCGTGCGAGTACTTCTTCATGCGGTCCATGTCGCCGTCAATGACTGCCAGCCACATCTTGGCGTATGAGCGCCGCAAGGGCAGCGGGATATCTCTGTAGAGGCCGTGGTCGTACAGTATGACGTCAAAGTTTGGGCCGCGTCCGATGCCGCGGCGAGCATCGTTCTTGCGAATGGCAATGTTCCCACCATGAGGGTCGCAGTGCAGCGGAGCGCCATCTCCGAAAATCATTTCGTTGAAAATGCGTGCTAGCGTGGCAGAGACCTCGTCGCGGTCGATTCCGTTCTTGTCCAGGTATTCCAGGTCATCAGGTCGAGCACCAGATTCGCAAGCCATGACTATGATACGCTTCTTGGCCCAAATCACCTCGGGAATAACCAGAGGCAGCTCCGGCATCTTGGCAAAATGTGCCTTCATCCGCCTGGCGTTGTCTGCCTCCTCTTGAAAGTCGAGTTCCTTTGGCAGTGACACTTCCATCTCGGAAGAAAGCCATTCGAGGTCGTATTCGGGGAAAAATCGTTTCAACGTAGAGAAAGTGTATTTTGTAAGAGCGAGATCCAATGGCGCAAATGCTTCAAGGTCAGGGTGCTGCACTTTAACAGCAACTTTGCGACCAGTCTCCTTCAACGTTGCTAGATGGACCTGGGCAAGAGATGCTGCGCCAATTGGTTCAATTGAGAACTCGGAAAAGATGTCCCATAGCTCTCCATTGGTATCTTTGCGGAACATGTCTTGGATTGATTCAAACGACGAAACGGGACACTTGTCCTGCAAGGGGACGAAAGTTGTTGTCCATTCGGGCGGCAGGAGATAGTTCATGGCGCTCTGTGCGAGAGACGACACGGTTAGTTTGTGCTTGGCGCTATCGAGAGAAATGCTCTTCATACCAAATGTTGCCCCAGCTTGATGAAAATGCCGCCATTCTTTTCCAGCACTTTGAATGTTCTCTCGGCGCAACGTTTGTGGCACGCTTGCAAGATCTTGGTCTGTTCTTCCTCGTCTTGTATCGTGGCTTTTGCGTTTAGTGTCGTACGGTAACTGTCGAGACGATTAGCCACGTGCTATACCATTGCATCATACAGGTCGCCGAAAATCCCTACTCATTAATACAAATAGCCAGCGCTGCAACAACTCGACCCGTCCGTTCTACAGACTCGTAGCTATTCCGAATCTCATCTGTAAAAGCAAGCGCAGTGCTCGCCACGCCAGCTGCACTGGCCGAGGCGAATAACAACACCTTTCGAGACCGCGATCCTCTACGACCATTGCCGTTGGCTCCTTGTGATGAACTCCTGGCCGAAGCAAAGCACCTGAGTCCTCCAAACGGGGAGGAGATCGCGGCGGCCAATTGGCCCTGACAAGCTGAGCATGTCCATGTTCTGGGGCCAAGCCGGGTGGCTATACGGGGGATCGTAAGTGCGCTCATTCTGTGAAAAAGGGATCCTGGCGGGCATCGGGGAACACCGCCGTCAAATGCTCTCAGCGACGTCGAGTGGTTGCTACCAAGGTCGAGACACTCATCCTCGAAATGAAAAAAAAAAAAACGTACGGTGAGGCAAGGGTAGGGAGAGACGCAGAAGGGAGTAATCAAGCGGTGCTAGTGATGGATGGTCACTCGAGACAAAAAAAGTTGGGGCGGCTCATCAGCATCCACATCATCATCAGAAGATCAGCTTTTCAATCTGTGCGACACGGTGATTCGTCGAGGCGCCTGGCCTCCGTCCTCAATCGGTTGGGAACGGAAGGACGGGGTGTCCATGGAACTAGACAGTGCTATCCCGCCTCTCGTGCTGAAAGCGCCCTGGGAACAGGCTCTGGTGCCCCTGAGAGCCACTTGGGCCAGCACTGGAGGCAACGGGTGGTCGGCGCTAGTAAAAGCACCGACAATTGATAACCTGTAGGTGGCGGGGCAGGTGCCAGACTGCGTGCGGACATGGATTGCACCACGTTGAACCGACTTCTACGAGCCAGCACGCAGTCCAACTCTGCCTACTTAAGTATTTTTTACCAAACGCATCATCTCTCTTGATTTTAGGTCTTCGTGCCTCCTGCCCCGATCTCCCTACAAACAACCCACATACCAACGCCTCCCGCGCACCAAACTTCATACAAATACCCAGACATGAAGCTACCAATGACGCCCCCAAACGCAAACGACATAGTGAACAGTCCAAACCCAACCCCGTATACTCCCTTGGCCCGCTAGATCCCAGTCTGCCTCTTTCTTTCTCTTCAATCACATAGGTCATCTCTGCCATCAGCGGGGTGCTTCCGCTCACGATGCTGCCACTTCTGCGCAACCTTTCTCTCCACCAACAGCAGCCTCAGCACGATATCGCACACAGTCAAGCCAAAAGCGAGGCAATACACGGCAAAGTACCCGGCCTTTGCATACGCAACGCCCCCGATAATCGGAGACAGCAAGAAGCCCGCCGTCATGGCCAAGTTCACCCACCCCATCGCCCAACCCATCTTGTCCCTCATCGTATCAGCCAGCAACGCCAGGCCGACCGCCCAGCATATCGCGGCGCCGATGCCCTGGAGAACACGCCCCATTGCAAACAAAGCAATGGATGTACTTGGACATAGTAACGGTGTAGCAGCAGCCAGGGCTATCAGACCAAGTAGAAAGGGCAGTCGCCGTGACGAAGTGCGGTTATCATAGAAGACGACGGGGCTCCCTATACACAAGCCCGAGTTGTATCGCGAGGAGGATGTCGTAGAGGAATATGTCGGTGAATACGGCGGAGCATACAACGAGCAGGATGAAGAAATTGGAGGAGCGCTGTTGGACCAGCACAGGGCAGTAAGTGAGCTTGAAGATGCCCATTGTCTTCATCTTGTTGCCCATTATGAATTTTGTCTTGGGTGCTCGTTGGGCGTCTTCATCGCCGGGAATCCCGTCTTGTCCACAACCACGACCATATTTATATTTTGTGACTGAGGAAATATCTATTGCGTCTTCTATCAAGGGGTAGCAGTAGCACGCAGATATTGTCCCTTGAATTGCATTGGCTCGGCGCTGAACCAACTCGGTGAATGAGTCTTTTGGCCAGCTTTTCCGGTATTCTCTGGGACTTGTTTCTCTCTCGTAACTAGCACTACATTCGTTCCGGCTTTCGCCCTCTTTATTTACAGGCTAATCAACTAAGATCAAATACTGTTGTTAGTTGGTTATTTGTCGAATTGGAGGTTTTCAATCCACCGAGCACTAATTGGCCTGGCAAAGTCTGCATGTTACCGAGCCCGGAGTTCGTCATCAATTCTACGGTGCAGTTTGCATGCATGTGCCTCCATATCTGACTTGACGCCACCCGACGCGACAGCCGACACCAGGTTTCGATGTTGAGAGTGGCAGCGGCCCCAGTGTCACGTCGCGCCACTTAACATTGATGTCCCACCACGTGATTGCGCGCCATGCTCGACCGCGTCTTAATTGACTTGCACTACCACTATCTACTAGGCAATTATCGCCCAAGATCCAACTACGACACCCACACGTTTCCGCGTGTGCACCCAGAACTCTCTGGAAGCTCAATTCACCATTCCTGATTGTAGACTACTCAAAATTCGCACATGCCTAATCATCCAAAGGACTCGCCGCCGCCCACCAACACCATGCTCTCCGTCGCAACACCCATGTTCGGGTTCAACCACCAACCAAGCGTGTCCTCCCCCCTCTCCTCATCACCTATCCGCGCCTCATCGCCCCTCTCCCCCGTCGACAGAAATACCCTTACCCAGAGACAAATTCAATCGTCCCCCATTCAGCAGCCGAAATTCAAATACGCGTCGCGGCCAGTGCGCCAGAACCCCCTGCTGCGTAAGAGGGAAGACGCGCACGAGTCAAGACGGCTCGGCTTCTTGCAGGGCGTGAGACAGAAACAGGATGAGAAGACGTGGCAGAGGAGAGATATTGAGGGACAGGTATGATTGCAGACAGTGCTTGCTGTTGGGGTCATGTCTTTGCACTAACGCGGTTGTAGTTCCTGAAGAATAGCTTGCTGGCTGATATTGGACGGCTTTCGTATGATGCGCCGGCTTTATCGGATACGGACTTAGAAGATGCAATGGCGTTTCAAGAAGATGAAAAGTCCCAGCACAATGACTGGCCTGACGGCGAACACGACGATGTCATGGACGAGGTTTGCCAGGAGGAACAAGAGTTCGAGGCCATGATTGCTTCGTACGAGCAACAGAGCCATATTGACCAGAGACCGCCGTCGCCTCTACTGTCCGACGAGGACTATGATGATGTCTTTGCTGAGCTAATCGCCCAAGAGCAAGCAGATTCACAACCACAATCTTCTGGTGAGCAGATGGATATGTCATGAGTGGGAGCGTCGTAACATTTGGATCAAGGCATTTGTGATTGCACTGTACTAAAATTGCACGGAGTTTGGGGGGTTCATTTTAACGGCGTTGGGTATGTAGGACACGTGAGGCAGTGGCAGGGACTGGTATTGTACTGAGATTTATCATTGTCCACCGAGCTCGTGTACGTGGGGTATTATAAGGGTACGGAATATCGAGACAACTGGAAAATCTATTGTGGATTGCATTGATCATCTGCTCCCCCGAATGCTTCTTGTGCTGATGCCATGTCTCCTACCAAGTCTGACGGCGGTGAGCCAGCGGCTTGCATCTGTCATATGTGTTAACTGACTATTGTGGCGATATTGAAAACAAACGCGAAGGCGTCACATACCTTCTGCATTCTATCGACAATATACTCGCGGTCGGAGGCGTTGCTGTCGGAGTAGCTGCTCTCTTCAAATTTGGCTACAATCTCTCGAACAAGAACCCTTTGCTCTTCATACCTCTTGAGATCTTCTGCTGGGGTCGAGGCCTTGTTCTTCTCGAACCACTCTGGAAATTTATCGTCAAGCTCCTTCATGGGTTCGTACAAAATGTCCTTGTTGGTCAGTTGCTCCATCATGCCCATGAGCATCTTGGAGAATTCTTCCTCACTGCCTTCGCCGTTGAAGTCGCCAGAGGACATTTGCTTCAGCAGCTCAGACATGAAATCGTCACCGCTACTAGTAGCTGCTGCGGCTGTGGCCTGGCGGCCCGGTGTCGGCATTCGTTCCATCGTCCGGCGGATTGTCTCTTGGAAGGATGCTTCAGAGGCAGCGCCTGGGGCTCCGGCCCCGGCAGAAGAGGAGCCCGCTGCCCCTGTTGCTGGTGCTGCATCCCCTGAAGCAGCAGCCATTTGCTTGAACATGTCCTCAAACTGCTGCTGCATTTCGGGCTATTGAAAACGTATTAGTCGAAATCGCCACCGCTACTAGTAGCTGCTGCGGCTGTAGCCTGGTCCCCGGATGCCTGCATTCGTTCCATCGTCCGGCGGATTGTCTCTTGGAAGGATGCTTCAGAGGCAGCGCCTGGGGCTCCGGCCCCGGCAGAAGAGGAGCCCGCTGCCCCTGTTGCTGGTGCTGCATCCCCTGAAGCAGCAGCCATTTGCTTGAACATGTCCTCAAACTGCTGCTGCATTTCGGGCTATTGAAAACGTATTAGTCCGTGGTTAATGGCCGATATGGGAATAGCTGTAGTAGCATACCGATTGCTCCAGTTCACCTAGCAGGTCGGCCATGCCAGCTTGAAGCTGTTTGGCGAAATCTTCTTCTGAGAATGGCTCTTCTCCAGCAGCTGGGGATTCCTTAGGAGCGGCGTCACCTGGCTTGGGTGTTGAAGTTGAAGGGCCGGCACTGCCAGACTCAATAGGCTTGTTGGCCCCGTCCTCAAGCTTAACGGTTGAAAATTCATCTAGCATGTCTGTTACAACGGAGTTAGAACTCTGCGATTGCTCGAAACCATAAGATAACTCGAGCTCTGGTCTCACCATCCAAGTCGTCTAGGTCATCCTCATCCGGATCAGGCACGTCTTCGGCTGCTGCAGCCGGCTTTGGGGCCTCAGCTGCAGCGGCATTGGCATCTGTTGTCTTGACTTCAACATCGCCTTCCTTGATCTCTTCTGGAGCAACAGGTTTTGCGTCCATAGTGTCAACGTCTGGGCTTTCACAGACCAATATCGGATCTCCACGTGCAGATGCCCTCCTGATTTGGTGGAATCACGCCAATGTGCTCACAGCTATTTCAACTTGCCGGATCCGTTCAGGGGGGTAAAAATAGTACCAGGGCTCAAATATTACACGGTAATCACACGAGTTGGAGAGAACGGTGCTTGAAGTTGGGATGGAAGCCTGTATTCCTCCGTAGGTTGTTTAGTTTTCATGCCCCTCCAACCCTCTACGGTCCAGCAAAGCCTCGCAATAGGCTTGCTGCTGAGCCGAGGGAAGAGTCGTGGTGGGGGGACACTGTGACAGGGGGAGATGGCGGGATGACGGGGTATGTAGGCTGGGAAGGAGCAACCAACCGCCTGGAAGGTTCTGTCAAGTGGCCAGCACTTTGCCCAACCGTGACTTCTTGGACACCCTCTGTGGTACGGAGGTGACTACTACCTGGTGTGGTGGCCTTGGGTCTGGTTTCGTGTCAGGCACTGCCCCCCAGTGCCTCCTCTTCCTGCGTGTCCTAAGCCGCCTGGTGGCACTCCAAAGTGTCAACTGGTCTCCACCTTTTACAACAATTCACCTCTGCTAGTATTGGCAACCTCGACTACGATTGATTTCTCATCTGGACAAGACAAAATACTTAAAGCCGTGCTCCCCAAGGGCCCGCGGCGACAAGGCTGCCAACCCGACTGTTGGTTGTGCAATTCTACGTCCACTTTCCATCGCGCAGCGAAGGCCTCTCATTCGGTAGCCTCGCGCACGCTCTTTCGATTCCTTCGACGGCCCATAAACCGATCTTCAGCCCGCGGCCCGACCAGACGTTGGCCCTATCAAGTGCCTTAAGATGGCTCTGTGTCAGAATCGATTACAGGAAGAGCGGTAGGCAGAAGGAGTTTTGCATGTGCTCAAGTTTTGCGCCAGCTCTGACCAGAGATGCAGCAAGCAGTGGCGGCGTGACCACCCGTTTGGCTTTTACGCCAAGCCCGCGCGTACAAAGGAGGGAATTTTGGACCTGAAGAACTGGGAATGCGGTGTTCCGGGCAAGGACAAGACTATCTGGGAAGGTGGCTTGTTCAAGCTGACTATTGCCTTTCCAGAAGGTGAGCGATACCGCTAAATAGTGTCGGAGATTTTCTGCTGACAATATTCATCCACAGAATATCCTACCAAACCCCCGAAATGTGAGATACTGAACAGCGCTAGGATTGCCGACATGACTAACACTCAGAATCAAATAGGCAAATTTGTTCCTCCACTATTTCACCCAAATGTCTACCCTTCAGGCACTGTTTGTCTTTCAATTCTTAATGAAGAAGAGGCATGGAAACCGGCGATTACCGTGAAGCAGATCCTGTTGGGTATCCAGGATCTCCTGAACGACCCGAACCCTGAGTCACCTGCCCAGGCCGAGGCGTACAATTTGTTCAAGAGAGATCGAGTGGAATACGAAAAGAGAGTCCGCCGTGTGGTGCGCGAAAACCCAGCACCTTGATGGATTTTCGATATTGGTTTGGAAATGACGAACTTGGTTCGGTCTCCAACAAAGCGTTTGGCTATGGCGTTTGGGGAGGTGTGTTTCAGACAACACGCACGGATGATATTGTGAAGGAAGACATTCATGGCACAAGACGATGGCATTTACTATGATGTTTTGACGAATTTGCGACAGGCGTATTAGGTTTAGGTTTCATACAGTTAGTTTTGAGTCTAGCGCCTGATGATAGACTGTAGGGGCGCGAGACGGAGAAGAACGTCTATGGAGAGCGTGCTTGTTCTAAGACGTGCAGAGACGAATCACACCAAATCCTTCATTTCCATGCGGTCCATCAACCTGAATACCACCACATGATGTCTGTGCTGTTTGCTGCGCCAATGCACCAGATAAGCTCCCTGGCATTTTGTAGTGCAAATATTTTTTTCTTTCTATTCTTAGGTAATCCGGTTAGTGGCATCAAAGGTACTGATGCGATGGCCATTTCGACTTGGAAAGCCAGTACACTGGATACCTAAGCCATCCAAAGGCCCTAGTAGAATAGGCACCGAAAGCAGAATAGAAAATCTCGTAAGAAGAAGGTGCAACGTGCATATGTAAGGCCCCCCGTGTCCCCATCCACGGACATCTGCGTTCCCTAAAGGACCCTGTCTTAGTCTATAGCCCTAAGGTGTCGTACGATTATCTGTCATATTCATTCGGTATGCACAGAGGTGGTTAGAAAAGGGCGCTTGTATGGACTGATCTATGTAGGTTTGGGCAGGAATTCATCGTCTACAAAAATTTTTTAAACCCCTTAGCGAAGCGACAACTTACCCATTTTTGGAATTAGGGAGGTTGACCTTTTATCTGCAGACTACAAAGGTATTAGCGGCACACCAACCATGTTCCGCGAATGATTGATCGCCTCGCCGAAGTCGGCCGGGGTCTAGGCGACCCCAGGCTTGTACAGAATAGAGGTTGAGCAATCGAGAGTCTCGGCTGTTAATATATGGGCTTTATCTACACTCCAACCCCAACCAGGCACATGTAGTACTCTCTCCATACTGATTGTCTCGGTGGGGGCCCCCGTTTTCACTGCCGCTCTTGGCCTTGACTCATGCTTGACGAGCTCCGGTCCTGTCGAGTAATCCCGGCGTTCCAACTTTGGCAGTATGGAGTCGTAGTGGCTTAAGGTTTTCCTTGCCAAATAGACAAGTGCTTCTTCTGGTTCTCCCACCCTTCAACTTTCTCTTCCACAACCAAGATCCGTATACAATTTTTTCCCGAACATTTTGCTTCGCAGCTTCGCCATTGAAGCTCGGCAGTCATCATGTGTGGAATTTTCGCCTGCCATTGGTACGTACCGTCGCTCCTTCCCTCCATCCCGTTGTCAATTGCTTTTTTTTTGTGAGCCATTTGGAGGGGCAGTCCGATCGGACGGCGGTGCGCAGCCGAGTCACCAAAAATTACCCCGCCAAGAAATTGAGAAAAGTTGCTGATGAGCGCAATCGACAGCCATCCAAGCGTCCAGAAGTTTAAGCCGACCGCTCTGCGCCTTGCCAAGCTGTAAGTTGACCTTCGATCGTTTTCTTGACAAGCGCCTGCTGATCCAATGGCTGTAGAATCCGCCACCGAGGTCCCGATTGGAGTGAGTCCTGCGTCACGAGAGATATCATAACTTCCTCGATCAGTTGCTAACGCCGAATGAAAATAGGTGGAAACATCATCTCCAACAACACAAGTAGGTCCAATGGAGTGGCACATTGACAATGGCAAGATATTGTGTCTAATCGGTGGCTGTGCAGTTTTATGCCATGAGCGTCTGAGTATCGTTGGTGTTGGTAAGTAGTGTACATTGATGGCCAGAGCTAAGCGTGCTGGTGTGCTAAACGACCATCTCAGAGTCTGGCGCTCAGCCTCTGACCAACGAGGATGAATCGCTTGTTCTTGCTGTCAACGGCGAAATCTACAACCATCGTCTGATTCGAAAGCACTTGAAGCACAAGTATCACTTCAAGACTACATCCGATTGCGAAGTCATTATTCCTCTGGTGCGTCGCCTCAATACTTTTGGTGATCGTATCTGCCAAAATAAAAGCCTTTGTGACTGACAGCAATGTTGGGTAGTATATGGAATACGGCCTCGATGCCCCCAACCACCTCGATGGCATGTTCTCCTTCGTGCTCTACGACAAGAAGCAAGACCGAACTATTGCTGCCCGGGATCCCATTGGTATCACGACCCTGTACCAAGGATGGACGTGGAAGGAACCAGGAACCGTCTATTTTGCTTCCGAGCTAAAATGTCTTCACACCGTCTGTGACAAGATTGTTGCGTTCCCCCCTGGCCATGTCTTCGACTCGAAAACTGGCCAGACAACTCGCTACTTCAAGCCCACCTGGTGGGATCCTGCCAATGTCCCTTCAACACCTGTTGATCTGAAGGTGTTGCGCCATGCCCTGGAAAAGGCTGTAAGAAAGAGACTTATGGCCGAGGTTCCCTATGGTGTGTTGCTCTCTGGTGGCCTGGACTCTAGCCTGGTTGCTGCAATTGCCCAGCGCGAGACTCTTCGTCTTAAGCAAAAGGCAGTGGCGGCCAACGCTGCCGTGGATCCCGTCGGAAACCCTGACTTGGGCGAGGGCCTTGTCGGTATCGACGACGATGATAACCTCTCCACTCTCACCTACCTTCCCCAGCTCAACTCCTTCTCTATCGGTCTTCCTGGATCGCCAGATAACAAGGCTGCCCTCGAAGTCGCCAAATTTCTCGGGACCAAGCATCACGTCATGACATTCACCATCGAAGACGGTCTCAACGCTCTTTCGGATGTTATTTACCATCTTGAGACCTATGATGTCACCACTATTCGAGCCTCTACTCCCATGTATCTGCTCTCACGCAAGATCAAGGCCATGGGTATCAAGATGGTGTTGAGCGGTGAGGGTAGTGACGAGATCTTTGGCGGATACTTGTACTTCCACGCTGCTCCTGATAAGAAGGCGTTCCACGAGGAGACTGTCCGTCGCATTAAGAACCTACACTTTGCCGACTGCCTGCGTGCCAACAAGTCTACTTCTGCTTGGGGTCTGGAGGCCCGAGTTCCCTTCCTTGATAAGGAGGTACGTACGGCAGCTGAAATTTGATGTTCAACAAAGACGGTGAACTGACAAAAGTTTTAATAGTTCCTCGAGACTGCTATGAACATTGATCCCCAGGACAAGATGATCACCAAGGACCACATGGAGAAATACATTCTTCGAAAGGCCTTCGACACTTCAGATGAGCCTGACACTGCCCCCTACCTACCTGAAAACATCCTCTGGCGCCAAAAGGAGCAGTTCTCTGACGGTGTCGGCTATGGTTGGATCGACGCCCTCAAGGACCACGCTGAGCTGCATGTTACGGACGAGATGTTGAAGAACCCCAAGACTGAATGGGGCACTGATATCCCCGATACTAAGGAGGCGTAAGTCGTAGCGATGGTACTGAAATTGAAGGTGTGCTAACACAGGCCGCAGTTACTGGTATCGGTCGATGTTTGACGAGCATTTCCCTCCTTCGTGTGCGTCGACCGTTCTGCGCTGGACGCCGACGTGGTCGAAGCAGACTGACCCCAGCGGAAGGTGTGTATAGTGTTTTTGATTGACAGGACTTCTGTGACTAATGTGTTTTCAGAGCTATTTCCACTCACAACGACAAATATGAGAACGCTGCATAAATGGTCATGTCCTCGCAATTATCTACGAGGCAACAGGGACACGTATGAGACATGCAGATTTGAAGGACAACAAAAGTTGCGTGACAGGTCAGTGTTTGAGCATTTGGACTAGTTTCTTGGTCGTTGGGTGGAATATCTAGACGTAGTAGACAGGGTAGGGCATGCATAGATAGATATACAATTACATTGCAACACTTGTACGCGAACCGTGGCGACCTACCGTGGTGATTCTAGTTATCTTGATTGACTTAAGGGACACTGGACATTTGACCGCTCAATCGAGGCTTGTACTCAAGATCTTAAGCTCGCCACGATTTCTCGATGAGGTGATATAAACTCCTGAGACGACAGCAGTTCAACAGGTATCAGTTGACAGTCGATGTCTTGCTAAGCTGAGGTCGAGGGACAAGGCCGGAACATTCATCAATTCATCTCAATCATCCTCAATTTCGCCCCCACCCCTTTTTGGGTAAAAAAGGAGCAAATTCCTGTCTCAAGTTTTGGACATGGTGTGGCTTGTACACTGGACTCAAGCTGGAGCCACACCCAAACATGCGACGAGTGACAGCGCGCCTTAGTTGGCGCAATACCGTCCACGTGGGCCGTTCTTGGGGTGCTTGGCGCAAAGTCACGATGGCACTGAGAACTAGGGTGTAAAATATTGCGGTTTTGGGTACCCATGGGTCTCCCTGTGACATATATAGGCACCTAAATTTATATACATATAGATGTACTGCTACATAAATTTTTACCCATGGGTACCCATTTTTACACCTTACTGAGAACGCCGCCGCGCGAAAGAGGAAATGAAAAGATGGCGGACATGAAAGAGTGGCCACTTTTGTACAGTACCCAGACACGGCTGCCGCGTCCCCCAGGCGCGTGAGCGTGTCTGATCGCATATTTCGGCTTCACAGTTGGCTTAATAATGGGTCGTCGTTACTGTGTAAACGAGCATGGATGGTGTCTGTGAGTCATGGCTTCCCCCCAGAGAAACCCTGAACGTCTGGAGTTTGAGTCTGGAGACGACTCTGTCCGTGGGCGGCGGACGCGCTGCGCTTGACCCGTCAACCTTTATTTGGTGCGGTTTATCTCGCGAAGCCTCTCGGAGAAGTCGGAGGAGCGCATGAACAACTCATCCGCCATGGCGGCCATGGCGGCGCTGCATGATCAAGGTGATGCATCCGGTCTAGCGGTTTGAGCTGTTGGCGAAATGTCAGCGGACCCGACGGGATTATCATGTTGGGATGAAGGCAGAGAGATGGATGGATGCCTTCTCAGAAGTTGCAATCCGCAGTCGAGCTGGTGCAAAAGCACCAAGTAGAAGACGCAGGAATATGCGAGTCGTCCAATGTCCACGGCAGATGTGCTTGTCCATTACTGGCGCCCACTCGGTGCAGCTGCCATGATTATAGCCGTGAAATCTCAACAACTGCTGAGAGGGACAAAGGATATTACAAAGATGAGGCATAACTCGACTGGTGGTTTCTTGTCCACATTTTTCCGACCATTGTTCCCCTGGTTTGCTCAATTCGTAGCTATTGCTTGCCCCAACAACGTGCAAAGTGGGTCTGCAGCACACAGCCGCCCAATCAGCTGCTGTCGCACTTAGCCCGACATTTTCCCTCTGTCCGCCGGGGTCCCGAAAACTTCCCACCTCTCGTCAGCTCTGGCCCTTCATCTCCTTGCCCATCGCAACTCGCGTCACAACATCATAATTCTCCTCTATCGCTCTCCCAGATACCAATCCTTTTTCTCTATCTTCTCGCGCCCTCCATTGCTCCAGTCAAGATGTCTGTTCCCGCCTTCTCCGACATTGCCAAGCCGGCCAACGACGTATGCTTTTGCTCCCCCGTTTGCTGCCATGGTCGTTTGCTCCTCGGCTCAAGTTGTACTGGGCTCAACGGCTTTTTTTTAATTGAGCTCAACAACCCGAGCCAATGCCATGATATCTCCGCGGAGAGTACATGACTAATATTGCTTTTTCTTGTAGCTCCTCAACAAGGACTTCTACCACCTTTCGGCCACCACCTTCGAGTTCAAGGATACCGCCCCCAACGGCGTCGCTTTCAAGGTCACTGGCAAGTCTAGCCACGAGAAGGCCACATCTGCAGCTGTGAGTATTATGTCCTGTTCAGTCCAACTTCGAACAGCTGCTTCCATCTCCGAAGCAGGTGTCAGGTTTCAGCTCTTGCGCCCTGTCAAATGCTGACGATGCTACAGATTGAGGGAAAATACACCGACAAGCCTTCTGGTAAAACTCCCCGTCCCAAGTCTTCCCGTCGTCCCGGTATACGATGAGAAAGCTCCCTCCCTGTCGTTTCTGTCTCACGCATTCTCGGGTCCGCCGCCGGCTGGCCGCTCGAGTTCGCTGCTTCCATCCAACCCGGGTACGCTCAGGTGCTAACGTGTTAAACGCGTACAGGCCTCACCCTGACCCAGACCTGGAACACGGCCAACGCTCTCGACACCAAGCTCGAGGTCAACGACACCCTCGCCAAGGGCCTCAAGCTTGAGGGTCTCTTCAACTTCCTGCCCGCCACCGCCGGCAAGGGCGCCAAGTTCAACCTCTTCTTCAAGCAGCCCGGTTTCCACGGCCGTGCCTTCTTCGACCTGCTCAAGGGCCCCGTTGCCAACGTCGACGCCGTTGTCGGCCACGAGGGCTTCCTCGCCGGTGCCTCTGCTGGCTACGATGTCAACAAGGCTGCCGTCACTGCCTACAGCGCTGCTGTTGGGTACGCTGCTCCCCAGTACAGCGCTGCCATCACTGCCACCGACAACCTGAGCGTCTTTGCTGCCTCCTACTACCACAAGGTCAACAGCCAGGTGGAGGCTGGTGCCAAGGCCACCTGGAACTCCAAGACTGGCAACACTGTCGGTCTCGAGGTTGCCAGCAAATACCGCATTGACCCCGTCTCTTTTGCCAAGGTTCGAGTTTGCTGCGCACTGAAGTCGTGGTACCTTGGATAGCTGACAATCTGTGCAGGTCAAGATCAACGACCGCGGTATTGCCGCCCTTGCTTACAACGTCCTCCTCCGTGAGGGTGTTACCCTGGGTCTTGGAGGTTCTTTCGACACCCAGAAGCTCGACCAGGCCACCCACAAGGTAGGACTTGCTTTATTCTACACCTTGTTCAGGGTTAAAAAAAAATAAAAATCTCCTGTTGCTAACACTGCCAATAGCTCGGCGCTAGCTTCACCTTTGAGGGTTAAAAAGCTCGTAATCACCCTTTTAAAAAAAAACCTATCATCTAGCAGCTCCCGACATGTGCTACTAGATGAAAAAAAAATATCTATCCTCAGATTGAAGCTGCAAAGGGCACGCTTTTTGTATCGTACTAGAAATGTCGCATGGGGGGTTCAGTGGCTTCCGTGTAGATATAGGAGTGAGACGAAAATCTAAATAATGAACAATTCTCACGAAACATGTTTGGGCCAGAGTATGTGAAAGTGCTTGAAGTCTAAATACACGGCAACAAGCTCTGATGTCTCGTCCAATGCCCCAACGGCCCTATATACAAAGTTTATGTCAACTGTAATTGGCCCCCTTCAAGAAAACTCTCTGTGTTTCTTATGCCTGGAACAGCAACAATATATATATATATATACCGCGGCCATCAAGCATGCTGCCAGCAGTCAACAGCCTTCCCCTCGCCAATCTCCCACACGGTCTCACACGCCGTCCCTCTTCCTCCTCCCCAGCCGCATAAACTGCAAGTAAACAAGGGGCGCGACCATGGTGGCCGCCAGGATGCCCATGATGATGAAGAAGTGCCCGGCCAGACTGGTCTGCGGCTCAAACTCGACGTCGTCGTCGCCCATGGCCCGGCGGCGCTCGTACCGCCGCTGGTCCTGCCGCTGGTGCGTGCGCGCGTGAGCCCGCTCGTCAAAGTGCGGCACGTCGTCGTCCGGCCTGCCCGCGCCGAAGGGGCTGGACCCGGGGCCCATCCCCGGCTGGCCCTGGTGGAAGTGCTTCCACGGGTCCCCCCGCGCCGCCGAGGCGGTGGTGGACTCCTCGTGGGCCTGGCGCCTCTTGTCGGCGTGCGCGCCCCAGCCGCCGCTCCTGTAGAAGCTCGGCGGCGGGCCGCGGAAGGTCCCTCTGCGCTTGGAGAGGCCCGAGGGCGGCCGGCCGCCGGCGTGGTGCTGGTGCTGGTGGGAGGAGCTGTGGTACGACGAGCCGGCGGGCGGAGAGGAGTGGTGGTGCGGGTGGTGCAGGCGCAGGACGTCGCGGTCGTACTGGGCGCGCCGGGAGGCGTCGGAGAGCACGTTGTAGGCTTCGGAGAGGAGGGTGAAGTTTTGGGCTGCGCCGGGCGAGGGGTTTACGTCCGGGTGGTGAGATTTGGAGAGCGAGTAGAAGGACCTGTGAGTTTTTTTTTGGTTTCTGGTTAGCGTCTTCTTTTTTTCTTTCTCTTTTTTCGTGACGTGGGAGGCTGGGGAGGGGGACAAGGGAGCTCAACTTTTTGATCTCGCCGGGCGAGGCATCGTGGTGAATGCCCAGGCGCTCGTAGTGATTCTGGTTGGCAAAGTCGGATGCTCTGGTGAGGGAGGCGTGAAACCGGCGCAGGTGAGCGGTGGGGGATGCGCCGTGCACAGTTAGTGGTTGGGCCGCGAGGGTGCGACCTGCAGCGAGACGAAGTGGCATGCCTCGTGCTTCATCACGATTTCTTTTCTTTTTTTTTTTTTTTAATCTTTTTTTTCTTCTTTTTTTTTTGGTGTTGTGTGCTGACTGAATGTCGGTGGGGAGGTTTGGTGGTGATGAAGGAAGGATGTTGGAAATCGTGCAAGGTTAAGCAGGGGTGGCGACGGGTGGTGAGGTCATGGCGGATGCTTTTGCCGGCCCGGAGACCGAGACTGCGGCATAAATTGACAAGGTGTGTACCGAGTACACGATATGGCGCGCGACACTAATGTTGATGTGCAAACAAGTGCACAATGGAAAATTTATTTTATACTATACAACCGTGTGAATCTTGACAATCTAGAACTAATGTTATTCTATTCAGTTACCATATGAAAGGAAAAAAAAAAGGAGTGCATGCAATGCCGTCTATAACCAATAACCAAACGCCATGAGCTACGACCCAATCGGCCGCTTCATAGGGTGCGCTTCCGTGTTAAACACCCATTCATCGAGATTGATAACACTTTCGTTTTCAAAGGTAAGATAAAAGTATTTAGTTGTTTCCGCAAGCCAGAATGTCTGCCAAAAAAGTTAGCTTCATACATCAAACTATTCCATCACCTGGGGGTCCGCAAATACTCACCTCCATGGAATCAATCTTGGCACTCCCGTGCATACTGGCATCCTCAATGGAAGCAAATGCCAACTCCGTCTCCGTCTCCTTCACTATGCCCTCCCACATTCGCCATGCTGCGTCGCGCCAGACAGGATCCCCCGTCACGCGCCACATGTAGAAGACGCTTTCAATGCCTTCCGGTCTCAACATGTACCTCCCGTCGTTGACCCGAAGAAACCCGTCTGGCAAATTCTTACCGCTGCCTGCGGAGAATTTGTCTTCCTGGTAGGGGCACGGCTGGTCCATCTTTTCGCACTTGACCAGCTCAGTTGCTTCGGGCATGATGTTGGTCGGGAATGAGTCGTAGCCCCAGACGCAGCCCGCGGTGAGGCGGGCGGCCAGATCGACATAGTCGTTGCGTCCGACGAGCTTGCCGGCGAGGGCGTACATGCCGCCCACGAAACAGGTCAGATGCTGCATTTGCGCCGTGCTTTCTCGCTTGCCCGAGAAGGTGTCCAGGTTGCCTGACATGAGGATGTCCTCGTCCTTGGGCGTCATTGGCTTGAAGAGCAACTTGTCTCGGCCGGCATCCAAAGACAAGACTGTCATCTCGACATATTCCGGGTCCAGTCCGCCAAGCAGGGCGTGCATCTTGGGAAGGTACTCGTACTGCGAATCGGCACCAGCTCCGAATGTGAAGAAGCCATCTTCAATAGTGCCCTCGCGGAAATTCACATCCCATGGCCACAGCCCGGGGGCCTTGGTGTGGTTCTGATTTTCATAAAAAAACTGCTTGACCCGTTCCGTGGCATCGTAGTACTTGGCGTCCCCGGTGATTTGACTCAGACGAGTGAACTCGACGCAGAGCGATCCGCTGGCCGCGCCGGAAATGCTGGTATCGCCAAGGGTCTCTCCGTTCTCGGCCCTGGTGTAGCTGAGCCAATGAGTCGGCAGACGGTTCGGCGTGTCAAATGCCATGTACAGCGCATCGCCAAGCTCCACGGCCTTTTTCAGCAGCACCTCTTCTCCTGAGAGATCGTAGGCTGACAACAATCCACCCAGGTATCGAATCGTCACCTCAAACACGTTGATGTTGCTGCCGTCGGTCTTGGACCAGTTAATCTTGGCAACCTCCCTCACGGCATGGCGAAAATCATCCCTCAAGCCCAAAATCCATAACGAGTCGAGAGCGTCGACCAGCTGGGCGGACCATCCTGAAAAAGTAGTCTTGCCCTTTCCCGAGAGCGGCATCAGTTCGTCCTTGCCCCACGCGTACTGCTTGTATGTATTCCAGCTCTTGATGAAGGCCTTTCGCACAGCCTCCCTCCGAGTTTTCGAAACATCATGGTCGTCCTCAGAGGCTGCTCGGGCTTGTACCCGAGGCAAGGCCTTGGGTCTTCCCGACGGCAGCGGGACCGTCTTGTTCGGCGGGAAGTAGATCTTGGCCTGGCTCCAGTCAATCGTGCTGGGGACGTAGCGAATGGGACTGCCGCTAGAGGCCTTGAATGCCAGGTGGAAGGGGTTGAAGCCCTGCCAGAGGATGACGGCCAGCAGGAAGAAGATGGCGAGGGCGATGTAGCGCCGGGCGGGCAGTTGTCCTGGGAGGCTCAGCATGGCAGGAGCATGGTTTGCCAGACTCTATCTGGTGGTCCAGCCGACAAGGACGTTTGGAGGCGAGGATTCGTTGACGGACAAGCTGTGGTTCCTGAGAGGCGGTAGGAAGGAAAGGTATTGGAAGTTGCATGTGGATAATACGGAAGAGTGTCTGGAAGACAGCACTTGACCGTCTTCCGATGCCAGAGCACGGGCGTAGGCGGATGGGCTCGCTCCATGCTCTATACTTTACATGGAACACGAAGTACGGAGCTCGGAGTATTGGATCCAGGGTTAGACAGGGTTGGACAGGGCTGGACAGGCAGGTGGGCGGTGGAAGTTTCCGTTTGGAAGCCATCATCATTGGCTGGTCATTGGCTAGCATCAAGCCACGGTCTGGTCCCCAGACCCAGCCGTGTCTCAAGTTGGCAGTTTGGCAGTCATGCGCCAGGCCGCTTCAATGCTCTTTGTTGCGCCTCGACTCCCATCACGTCTTTGCGTCCGTCCAATCTTGTCAAAATATTTCCTGTGCTACCGCAAACAAGGCGGCGGCCCGAAATTAGTCACACACGCAGCCTTAGGATGCTCTACCCGGCTGCACTTCACGTCACACGACTTCGTCCTGCAACACCGTGCCGGCAACAGATTTCAGCCCCTAACCCAACATGGATTTGTTTCCAAAGTGGACATTGATCTCAGGGGGCTCACACATTGTATCTACGGTACGGAGTACGTACTCTGTGCTCTTGCCGCAGACTAGAGACCCCGCTTTGATTGGGTAGCTGGGCACGCGACACCTTCACATTGATCAAGCGTCAACCAAGTTTAACGAATGGCTGCTGTAATATCTATCTAGTTCTTTTTTACCTTTTTTTTCTTACATCTTAATGAGTGCTGCGAGTTGGTCGTAAATCAAATTCTACCAGTCTGAGGACCACAACCACAAAAGTCCAATTTTGGCCAAGGCTTTTCTCTGTCTTGGTAGGCTGCGAATCTTGCCTGCGCAATGTTGGCTCTGTAATTTGCCCTCTTCACTCAAGGCTGCCCGTCCAGATCCTTTTTTAAGTGGCGAGTTCCCCCGTCCAAGAAAAAAAGACTGCCTCTAAACATGCCGCCTGTGCTGCTGCTCGTTCACTCCTTCAACACCTCTGTCAAGGCATGCATGCACCCCTTCTGCGACCCAAAAAAATCATCTGCCATCAGTATCAAAGCGGCTTGTCCTGGGTGTCGATGCCGCGCGGGTCCAGTGTCTAAAAACCATCTGGCTAGTCTCAGATTCAGCCCGCTGCCATCTCTTCGGCTTCGACAACGTCAAATGTCCTCGACGTCTGTCCATAGGAATGTTCCGTAGCTTTGATCGTCATCCTAATCGTAGCCACTCGTCCACAAGACCTCGATCGCTTAGAGGCCTGACAGGTCCTCAAAGTCCTGCTAAGCCTTGCAGCAGTGAGTACTCAAAATTCGAGTGCTTTAGGTTGTCACGCAGTTCTCGCCGCTAATTCCCAATCTACTTCTCTGTAGCTCCGGTTGTCACTCAGTCGTAGCCGCCGCCAATCTGACTATGAAAGGCAGTGCTGACGCTCTTCTCGTCGTCGTCGTATCGTCTGCCAAAGCTGCTGCCCGGTGCTATCCGGCCGTTGCTCTCAACATATTGCTTGAGTCTGTCACTTTGCGTATATGAGACTGGCCGCATTCCCGTGACTGCATCATGCAATCCAGATCCCAAGCTGACACCGCCTTGACTGACCCCCTTGCCGCCAATAACGCTGGTAGTCGTGTCTGTGAGTTCCGAGTTGGCAACGCTCTCGCCCGCGACGCTCTCCGTTGCACGGCTGCGTCCCTTGTTGCCTCGACCAGGCACTCCTGGCAGCCCAGGCCACTGTTCTGGTGTGAAGCTGGAAAACATGGGAGGAAACGCAGAGTTGAGAGCAGCACCCCCAAAAGCGGAGCCCTGGATCGAGGACACATCATCAGGGATGTACGAAATCATAGATCCAGAGTCAAAGTCCCGGCCTGGAGCTCCGCTGCCGTTGAAGCGTCCATTGGTGTATCCACCGGCGCCGTACTGAGACTGATAGTTGTTCTTCTGACGGAAGCTGACCTTGGGTCGGCTAAACTGCAAAAGACAGGCTTGAAGGTTCGTGAGAGGGCCTTCGACGAAGCACTTGCGATCCTTGAAGTGTACAAGCAGATTGTGCCAAAGCTCGTGTTTCGAAAGCACCTTGGGATTGCCCAGAATTACCAGACCATACTTGGCTCGGGTAAGGGCAACATTCAAACGGCGAGGGTCTGACAAGAAACCAATGCCCTGATTCTCGTTGGAACGAACACACGAGAGGACAATGAAATCCTTCTCGCGACCCTGGAATGCGTCGACAGATGCGACTTCAACCTCCTTGTAGTATTCCTTCTTGTATGTACCCGAATTCTGCATAGTAGTAACAATATAACTTCTCTGGCCTTCATATGGAGTAATGACACCAATCTCCGATGGCTTGACGCCAGCTTTGAAGAATCGAGTCACGGTCTTTTCCACATTGGAGGCTTCGGTACGGTTGAGATAGGAGGTTCCCGAGGTAGAAATTTCCTCGTTACCGAGATTCGACCAGAACATCATGGGGGTTTCTGCAATAGGCCAGGGGAAGTCTACATCCTTTCGCAGACGTTGCTCGTGAGTGATGCCGTTTTGCAAGCTACCGTCGTAGAACATATTTGAAGGGAACTCTGAAAGACATGGGTGCATTCGGTACTGCGTAGTCAGTCGAATAGGTGCGAGCTGGAGTTTGATCAATCGCTCAAATAGAGACTGGTTAAGGCCAGCCTTTGCGGCCTTCTTGTTCATAATGACGGGTCCAAGCTGCTTATGGTCCCCGACAAGAACAACTTGCTTGCAGCCAAGAACCAATGGGATCATACACTCAGGCTCCGCAGACTGTGTAGACTCATCGATGAGCACGTTTCGAAACTTCATCTTGGACAAGCGAGGGTCGCCAGCACCAACACAAGTGCAGCAAACAACGTCGGCATTGTTGAGAATTTCCCGCTCAGCCGCTTTGGTGAGCTGCTTGAACTTTTTCTCATCTTGGCTTGAAAGTTCTCCAACGTCATTCTTGAGCTGTGAGAGCTTGACGAGCTCGCTGTTATGCTCCGACAATCTAACCTGCTCGTGCAAGGCCAGGAAGCTGACAGAGGACTCGACATCCTCTCTCGACTTGGCTGTAAGTCGGACGACCTTCAGATTGGTTCGGTGAATCCGTTCGCAAAGCTGGTCAACAGCAACGTTGGATGGTGCACAGACGAGTACTTGGTTGCCGCTCATCTTGGCAAGATGATAAATGATAGTTGCGGATGTCACCGTCTTTCCGGTCCCGGGGGGTCCTTGAATAAGGCTTAACGGCTTCTGCAGGACAGACTTGATGGCGTCGACTTGACTTTGGTTGAGGTCAGGAAGCCCAGGAGCAGACCACTTTCTAGGTAGCCTCGACTGCACCGGCTGAAGCTGAACCTCGTGGCCCAAAAGGGTGTGGAAGATGTAGCCAGAAACACTCATGTCATCGACAGCAAACGTCTTCATGGCCAACTGCATGCGATCATATGAAGTTGCCTTCCAGACATAATCCGCAGAAAAATTGTGAGATAGATCGGTAGGCACAAGCTTGTCGTTTCCAGTCTTGCGCAATTCTAAGCAAACTTCATCGGACTGGCTGTTCGGGATCTTGATGACATAACCAACACCTTCCCACGGCTCCCGAAGCTCACCATTATATCGAAGCCTCATTTCATCACCAACCGCGAGCTTGACGTCTCCGGATTCAATCTTGTGTAGATTAAAGCTCACAAGATGCTTGTTGTTGAGACCGTAGTCCCATCGAACGATAAGCCCGTCTTCGGATTGCGCTTCCTTCAGTTTCTTGTCATAATCAGACTCCATCTTGACCAGAGGCCCAAAGATATTCTGATAGTGGTATGGGTCGTCGTATCGTAACAGGACTGGGTCCGGATCGTCATCAATATTGGATGCTATTGACAAGCTTGCAACAGTTGCGGAGGGCTGGACTTTCCACATCTCCTCCAGTTTGGCAATTGTGTTGGGCGAGAGATGGCGAGCACGAAGCTGCTCAACATCGGATGGCGCACTAACAAGCCAAGTGAGAAATGCTCGCTCCTCGATGAGAGGCTCCCATCGTGAGATATCCCAGTTCATATCCTTGGTCGAAGTGCTAGATGCGCACGGCTGGCGGCACAAGAGAACAACTACGGTGTCCGATTTGGCTGGAATAAATCCTAGCAAGAAGGCATTTTTTGTGCCACAGTTGTAGCATTCTAAAACCGTATCCCCCAGTGTCGACTCAGGATGCAGCTGAACTTCCTTGTGTCTCGCTCGGACCAGATGATTCACAATATGGGTCGAAGTACCATTACCTTTCGCGCTGCAAAACCACTTGTTGCAAGTAAGGCATTTGACGACGCAGGCCGGAGAGTGAATACCACAATAACTAGATTCATCGTGTCAGCTCAAGAATACATCATGTTTAGCTCTGTGATGCATCGTTGCTTACGCGCAAGCGTGCGGAGGAAGCTCCTTCTCTTCGTCCACGGTCTTTAGTTTGAGGCCACTCATACCCTCCACAGGAACGCTGTTGAGACTGTCGTTGTCATCTTCCTCGAAAGCCTCAGTCTGGTTATCGTCGTCATCGGCGCGACGACGCCCGCCACGACCGCCTTCGTACTTGCCATAAAGCAAGCTCTCGTCAGGATCGAGTGCAGACAAGTCATCGGCGCCAGCCTTAATGGCAGCAGCTGAGTCGGATATCAGATGGTTCCCTACATGGGTAAAGGCGCCTTCCATGTTGTTTCTGATTGGGATGTGTTCTGAGGGGTCGCCGGTAAGCGTTGTTTTTTTTTTTTCAACCTTGGTATGTCAGCAAGAAACGAGGGACAAGAAATGGGTGAAAAATACAGCCAGTTTGGTTGTGCCACGGATGCAGTGCAATAATTTACTGCTTGCGTACTAGAAAGTTTCAACACTAACCCACAGAAGCGAACTTTGTTCGAAATAAATAATCTGCCCGGCGCAGCAAAAGAGATTCGGGTGGGATGGATTTGCAGATTTCGTAGTTGCAGATCGTGGTTTGGTGTTCACATCATCGCGGCAAACTTTGTACTCGAAGACGGCCGCGAGAGTTTGATAGCTGCGAGATCAGACCGTGCTAGCTAACAATCAGTGAACAAAAACAGTTCCGTGAAAAAAAAGCTGAGGGATGTTGGTAAAGTTTTGCTTTCCGGATCACTTCCTGATTCATCGCCTCGAGCGAAAGACACCCGACCCTGATGCGGCGGCGACCTTTAGTGGGACAATTTGCGCCCACGTGATAAGCGGGCTTCTTTTATCGATAAGGAGCGAAAAAGCTGGACAGTTGATAAGGTCTCTGGCGGTGTCGAGGATGAAGAACCAACATTGACTTCAAGTTCTCTCGCACAGAAAAAGAAATTAAAAGCGAGACAAAATGATTGTAAGTACTGCTGTAATATCAACTCGCTACATGACTCCGTACTGACGGCGTTTTTTCTCAACAGCGTAAGCAAGCACGACAGCGAAGAGACTATCTCTACAGGAGGGCCCTTCTTCTTCGAGATGCTGAAGTCAGTGAAAAGCGCGCCAAGTTGCGGGCATCATTGGCATCTGGCAAACCCCTCGACCCCTCGATTTCGAATGACAAGAGACTCAGAAAAGACTACCAATACGACGAATCAACTCCCGACTTGGGCCTGAATGAACAACTAGACTTGGACGACGAATACGCTCAACTCTCTGGAATTGTCGACCCTCGAGTCCTTGTCTCAACATCACGAGACCCTTCCGCCAGACTCTCAGCATTCGCAAAGGAAATCAGACTACTTCTACCGACATCAATTCGAATGAACCGTGGCAACCTTATTCTTCCCGATCTGGTCAAATCCGCCCAATCCGCGGGGTTGTCGGATATCGTTCTTCTTCATGAACACCGTGGCACACCAACGGCTCTCACGCTGTCGCACTTTCCTCACGGACCTACAGTCTCGTTCTCGTTGCACAATGTAGTACTACGACATGATATTCCTGGCAGCGTGAGAGGCACAGTAAGCGAATCATATCCGCATCTCATCTTCGACGGCTTCACGTCTCCATTGGGTAAACGCATTGTCAAGGTCCTGAAGCACCTCTTTCCCCCGAGGGAGGCCATCACGAGCAAAAACAAAATGGGCAACCGTGTCGTAACGTTCAAGAATATCGAGGACAGCATTGAGGTCCGTCACCATGTCTTTGTTAGAACCGGCTACGATAGCGTCGAGCTTGCTGAAGTCGGTCCTCGGATGACAATGCGCCCCTTTGAAATCCGTGGGGGTACACTCGAGAACAAGGATGGCGATGTTGAATGGCACCTGTCGCAGTATACGAGAACAGCGAAGAAGAAGAACTATCTCTAAGAGCCTACGGCGAGGTGGCAAACTTTTTCTTCATACTCTATTACGAAAGCCTGCCAGGTTGCCTGTGGCAGTTGCATGCGTAGTGGCGACTCGGTCGTGTCTGATGGCGGGAACAGGACTAGGTCGATCAGTTGTCGCCGAGACGGCAATGGTAGATACGACACTTGTGCCTCGAATATCGATGCAGTATGTCAGCGTGGTTGAGCATGTTCCCGTGGATATAGAGCAAGTCCTATCCAGCACTGAACTAACAGTGCGCCTCTGGTCTGAGCATTTGGACCCTCTGCATTGAGGCCACCCGCCTCGAGCGGGAAGAGTACACACGACATCTGCATCAAGCTTTGTAGAACCGAGGGCTTTTTCAGCAAGAGAATTATTCACAGCAAAATAGTCTATTCGGGGGCAAGAGGCTAGAGCAACAATGTCGGCGCAGATGATCATGCGGAGGATACCCACGCGACTTATTCGCAGTGTCTTGGAAAATAGAGTGCAGTACACATAACCAGTTATTGTGATTCACGTCCTGTTTGACAGCTGTGGTAGACCAGCGCATGCGTACAACGCAACTCTGAGATTCTTTCATGGCAATTTAGCGCCAAGGCCGTCATCTCACAGCAATGATGTGTCCTATCTATAAAAACTCATCGCCAGCAGCGCAAATAAGCTTGAACCAAGCTATCAAAGGTATCAAGTGATTCAATACACAAACGTCTCTCCCACACATTCTTCGCTCAGCGTCCAACACCTCTCCGCGTCCCCCTCGTCCAATGCCCAAGCATTGACACAGGCAGGGTCGCTTGTGATTTTACAGTCAGCCAAATACACCCCATCACCGAGTGTAGGATCCAGCGCAGCAACTAATGTAGTAGCACAACCCTGAGACACAGTCTTTCTCGAGAAGCCTTTGCTTCTGCAAGACTCTTGCCCGCAAACTTTTGTGCCATGTCCTCCGCAATGTCCAGAGAAATATACTTTGACAATCCAGTCTCAACGCTGCCGGGGTCCAGAGCAAATTACCGCACTCCAATTGAAACCAGTTTTTCGTTCAGGGAGACGGAGAACAGAATTTGTGCCGTTTTGGACTGTCAGTACGCTCTTTGTGGCGTGTAAGTCGTCTTGAAATGAATGTCCTCCAAGTTCATGCCGCTGTACTTGTTGCCCGCGCTTGACACGGTTTGCGCGCCAATGCCCCCTGGGGTTGGACCAGTGACGAGGACTGAACATGCATGTAAGTGACGTGTCTGAACGCTGTATACCAAGGTGGGTGCGCGGCTGTTGCTGATGAATTTGACGCTGCTGCTGCTGCTGCTATTGCTACTGCTGATGACGAATTTGACGCTACTATATCTACTACTGATGATGATGATAAATTTCTTGGAGCTTCTATTTCATTTTCCCCTCCGGGGGTCTGCCTGCGGTAAGCTTTTACGCCATGGCAGAAGGTGCCTACAACCCCAACACCAAAAAGGCAACATCACGATGATCCACTTCCATACGCCCCGAGTGTGGTATCATCAGTTTCTTGCGAAATCGAACCAGTCCGGGGGGTGCACAAGACTCATGTGGATGACTTGAAACATTATATCCCCGATGATAGCGGGTGCAGCCACCCAGACTGGATTATTGGGACGTGGCAGATTAGGATCGGTGATAGAGATATGGAGGAGGAGTAATGCGTAATGGAGATGACGTCCAAGTTGCTAGGAAATTAAGGCCACGCCTGGCCTACTTGGGAAGCAGACAAAGTCAGCTCATCAACTCAAGTATATCCCAGGTACCTAATAGCTGTCGCGCTCTATGTATACAAAATACGACAGTACATCAGTGCATGCTTCTTATGCGAATATATTTTGGTATAGACTGACTGGCTTAGTGGTTCTCTGTAGATTTATCGCTCTCTTGGCATAGCCTCGATCTGTGACGACAGCCAGCTTCCCTGGGCCCTATTTTTGGCCTTTGTCCAAGACGAGCGCCGCGCCACGGTGACCATCATCAAGGTCCCGGCCCGGTGGAATCGCTCTGGCCGAAATGGCGAATACGAGGCTTGCTGGTATTTGGTCCATTCAATGCCGGATTGTTTTTGTCCAAGAAACATGCTCAGCCACCCATTGGCCAATGTCAAACCGAGTTCCCGTGCAAGCCGCCGCATCCCTGCAGACTTGTCAGCCCCACATGACATGCGCACGTTCTTGATTCCGCTTTGAGGTTTAGGATTTTCATTCATTGTTTGATTAATCCAAATAATCGTACAAGCATCGTGCAAGCTTTACATCTGGTAACACAATATATCGGCTATACCTGGCCAATGAACTATAATAAAACGCGTAATATACTATAAATACACATATGATAATACGTCAGACACTGGCAAGATGAGTGATTTATCGCGGCGTGCCGTCTACGAGATAGCCCTAACTACCTAGGTATTAACTACGTGGAAGTAAAATATAATTTATACCAGTGACTGTCTCTCAAAACCTACGACCGTGTAATATATATAAATAAGATCTTATTGGCATTCTACAAGTCCTTTCTTCCCTCGCCCATCACCTCCCTCCCATCTTCCAACGTCAAAAGCCCCGTCACAACTACAAGTTGATGTCGGCGAACGCAACTACTCAAAGCTCCCCGAAGCACTGCAATCTCTCAATTTCTGCGTCGCAACCTGGCGGTCATAGCTATGAATTGCTGTCTTTGGGCCATTCAAGCGTATAAAAATGTTGGCAAAGGGTAAAGCAGTATCGAGGACATCTGGACTTGTCCGGAATAGAGATGTCGAAACTGACAGTCTCTCTGGTTGCTCCTGCCTGCCTGGTGGCGCCAACAGCACCAACACGGCCTCGTCGGCTCCCAATAACACTCGTTGCTCCTTCCCCAGCAGGCTGTCAAGTGGCGCTCCTGCTTCGTCAGACGTGCGACCCGGCTTGTGTACTAATAAAACCAAGCACAGCTCCCTTCCTCCCGGCGTTCGCTACCCGTCGTTCGCCACAGCAAAAGCCAAGTCCTCTCCCGCCAGCTCCATTTGTCCCACTAGTGGCTCTCACTTGCCCGCCAACCCTCGCCAGTGTCGTCTCAAGGTGTTTTCGCCGCGTTTTGTCGCCATCTTCGGATGAACGCGCCCATTGGCATCCATATTCGCACTCCGACGTCGCAGCTCTGCGTTGAAACCAGAAGCAAAGTTATCCCGTAATGTCGTACCAACAAAACCCGTACTCCCCGGCGCCTCCCCAAAATGCAGGGCGCGCAGAGAGCGAGGTAAGCTTGTCCGCGAAGTTTCTCGGCGCATCCGGCATCGTCATACCACCATGAACGAGTTACGTGTCAATTTGTACACATTTGCTAACCATCGTGTTTTTGAAAGGACAATCGCTGGGGAGTTGGCCGTTACGAAATGCAACCCTTGGACAACCAGCGACCAGTCAGCTACCAGCAGCAACCACCACCGCAGCAGCAGCAGCAGTACGATGGGCTTTCAGAAGCGCAATTTCTGGATCAGGTACAGGGCTTGCGCGACGAAATAAAAGCCCTTAATCAATCCCTCGATGAGCTCAATAAGCGTCACAAGCGAAGTTTGGCCGACAGAGACGTCAAGGAGCAGTTCGGCGACTATCACGCTGAATTGCAACATCAGCGAGCTATGATCCAGGATGGGGTCAGGCGCCTTGGGAACGACCTCGCCAGTACCAGTCCCTCCGACAAGGCTCGCCAGACCAAGAAGCGCCATCTACAGTCGTTAAAGACTACGCTACAAAAGGTCGTGGAGAAATCTATCAAGGTGGAACAGGACATCCGGAATGGCGAGGAAGCGGAGAGAATACGCCAGTTGGGGCTTGTCCACCAGGATTGGGACTACTCAAGGCTTCAGGAAGAAGCTCGCCGTGACTGGGGCAATGAAGGCGTCTTCCAGGATGCTGTATGTGCTCCAACTTGTCTCCCTACATGCATCTTCTTGTTGCCCCTTATTCCCAGGCTGACGATTCTGCTAGCTCATGAACAACCGTACTGAACAAGCCACTGAAGTACTCGGCAATGTTCGCGCTCGCCATATGGACTTGCAGCGTGTGGAGAAGGATGTTTCCGAAATTGCCCTCCTGTACCAGGAACTTGCCACCCTGGTTGAGCAACAAGACGAAACTATCGTAGCCACGGAGCAAAACGCCGAATATACTGTCGACAACATGGAGGCCGGTAATCAGCAAGTCAAGGTAGCAACAGACCATGCTCGTCGTGCCCGTAAGCTCAAGTGGTGGTGCCTCCTCCTCTGCGTCATCATCATCATTGTTGTCGCTCTTGGTGTTGCGCTGGGTATCTGCCTCAACGGCAACAGGTGTGGCGGCGGCAAGTAGTGAATGCGGTATTTGTATCATATTTCCACTGCCAGATGGAAAAAGTAGCTGTGGAGCGAAACTTGGGAGCTCAAAACGAGCACGTCATACCTGTCACAAACGATATCACTTTATATCATAACGCCTCGGGAGTCAGAGAAACTTCAAAGAGGTGGGTCGAGTAATATTATATTATGGTTGTTGAGGAGATGTTGGCGCAGAATCAACGTCCAATGTACCTTTTGTCGTTGGATATGCGAAGCATTTCACAGAGAGGAGAAGATGGCCCGGGATGGGTCTGCGACGCATGAAGTGGCATGCAAGCTGAAATCAACACGCCATGGTTGTATGTAAATTGATCAAGGAAAGTCATTCTATGTTCACGAGATACGGGTTTCGGTATAATTTTGTATGAGCAGTAATGTGTAGGAAGGAAGAGAGCAATTTCACGCGTCACGAATCCGTCCATGTAGAACTCGACATCTCTTTATGTACCCGGTACAGCACGGCAAACTTGACCATATTTTACCTCAGATTTCGTCTCTCCATGGTATATCCATTTGTAAAGCACGTTGAATCATTCGGGCACTTCACACACTTGAGCCAATAGACAGCAAAATTTGGAGAGAAGTTCCATAAGTTAAGGTACTTATACATGTACAAGACGACCACGATTTGACGCCGACTGTTCCATCACACGTTTTGTGCCATCCAGTCAGCCACCCACTAAAAAGCCCACCAAAGAAACACTGATGTTTTAATTCATGCCTGCTTCCTATCACAGGAATCACGAGTGCATGCATTTAACCTGTTCATTCAAGTAATGCACTGTCCACCATCCTACACTTACACTTGCGGCTCTTGCACCTTTTTATCCTGCCTGGATTTTACAGAACGAAAATGATGAGCAATGTTGTTGTTATTTCTTTCTGCCCGTCAAAAGAACGACTTGGATTTGATTGGGTTGTTTATCGGCCCATGCCGAAGCCAGGAGGGGCACCGCCACCAGCCAGCTTAGCTGCTAGCTTGGGGTACTTTTCGGTGACTTGGACTTGTGTCCTGGTAGCTTCGGCGTAAGAGAGCGCGTTGACAATCTCGCCTTCGGTGCGGGCGAGCTCGGCGGCGCGCTCAAAGTATGTAAGGGCTTCAGTGACTTTGTTCTGTTGAAGGAGGAGCTGGGCCATGGTGGCGACCGCTATGTCGCACTCAGGGTCGACTGGATGGGCGTTAGTATGGTGACTGAAAGTGTGTCGCAAAGGGGAGGCTTACTGATCAGAGCCTTCTGGCATAGCTGCTCGGCCTCCTTGAAATCCTGCTTCCACTGGAACAGGGCCAAGGCCTTGTTGATCAGGGGCAGGACGTTCATTGACATGGGCTTGGTCTGCTTCTCCATCTCCATGGCGGTGTCGAACTTCTCAACAGCCTCGGAGAAGTTGCTTTGGTCGAGCAACAGCTCACCATAGTAGTTGTAGACATCAGGCACCTTGGGGAAGTTCTTGATGCATCGGCGGAAAGTGGCCATGGAGGAGGCGATAGAGCCCATCTTGTACTGGGTTACACCGAGCTGGATGTGAGAGAAAATAAAGTCCTTGTCCAGGTCAATAGATTTCTGGTAGTCCTTCTGAGCTTCGGCAAGGTCGCCCTTGATGAAGCTAGCCTGAGCACGGTGGTAGTAGACGTCGGGGTCGTCCTTGTCCTGCTCAAGGGCCTTGGCAAACTCGGCATCGGCCTTGACTGGCTCTCCAAGCTCCAGGCTGATGCTGGCACGCTTGATATAGCTCTGAATCATGCCGGGATCGAGCTCGATGCTCTTGTCGAAGTCTTTCGTGGCCTCGGCGTGGTTTCCAAGCAGAGTTCGCATAGTGCCTCGGAGGTTGTAGGCCAAAGCCTCGTACTCGCCCAGATCACCCAATTCAATTGCCTTTTCGAAAGCTTGTCTTGCCTGTTCATATCCTTCGCCAGTCTTCTTGTCAAGACCCTGAAGGCCGATTTGCAGCTGGCCCTTGCCCGTTTCAGCGTCCAGTTCGACAGAGTCCTCAAGACCCGCGGGACGGCCTTTCTGTCGGAAGCTCTGGAGATAATTGCCGACGAAAATTGGGCTGGGCAGCTTAGGGGGCCGAGAAGCCATCATCTCCTTGGCACGGTGCTCGGCAAAAACCTTCAGGAGTCGCTCGACAGCCTGGGCGGTGGACTCGCTCTTGAAGTTGTCAATGATGCAGGATGCAGTAAAGTCGAGGAGAGCCTCCGAGTACTTCTTCTGGTGTTCGTAAGCTGTAGCTCGGCGATTGATAGCCTTGATATACTCGGGGTCCATAGTGATGGCGGCAGTAGTGTCCTCGACCACCTTGTCCCATTCGCTCATAGCACTGTAGCAGGCGGCACGGTTGGAGTAGAAGACGGGATCCGGTTTGCAAAGAATGGCCTGGGAATATAGACCAATGGCTTTGTTGTATGCCTTGTCACCGTAGGCTCGGTTGCCGGCCTGCTTGAGTTTGGCGGCATACTGCTCACGTTGCTCAGGCGACAACTTGGTGACAGTAGCTTCGTCGATCTCGGGGATTTCGTCTTCACTCTCAACGGCAACACTCTTGGCTTGGGATGGAGCTGGGGTGGGTTCGTTGGTCTCGGCAGCCTTGCGCTCGGCTTCTTTTCTCTTCCGTCTCTCCTTCTTGCTGAGCTTGGGCGGTGAGTCTGGCCTAGGTTTCTGTTGCAAATCAAAGTCAGTTCTTGATGATTGTTTGGTTTTCGATATACACAATTGAGGTGTCTGGCCAGTCGCTTAGGGATGCGAAGCCTCAGGGGCACAAGCCGTTACCCAAGGAGTGTGCGAATTGAATATGCCGAACGTACCGAATCAGAATTCAAGTAATAGACAACCCCAGCACCAGTGACTACAACGGCAACACCGGCAATGGTGTAGACGACGGCCTTGTTTTCCGATACCCAAGAGGAAATGCGATCCCAAGTCGATGAGGGCGCATCTACGGGGATGGCTGTTGGCCTCACAGGAGGCACAGACGGTAGGGGGTTGGACATGATGGAAATGATGGAAAGGTATGAGAAGCTATAAAAACAACAATTATATTAAAAAGGACAAGGTTGAAGAAACGGCCGCTGAAATGGTGCGAGAACCAGAGGGCAGGCCGGGACGATGGAGGTGCGTGGGAGAGCTGCTGCAAAGCTGAGCACGCGCAGAAAAAGCTGGACCAGTCGAATGCGATTGAACCAAACCAGACCGGTCTTGAGCGTTTGAACCACTGGAACGAGCCGGCTGCAAAATTTCAAGCTCCGGCCCGCGTCAAGGTCGTCATACCAGACGGCTTAGTAACTCGCCTGGGCCCGGTTTTCTGCGGGCCTCTTGCAAGGTCGCCGTCCAATCTTTGAGTGCGCGATGATGGGCCGTGATGCATCAGGACTACGGGCTGTTTCCAGGGTCTGCTGGCCCGAGTTCCTTTAACGTCCTCTGTCGCGTTTATTGGATGTTATATCGTCAACACGCTTTACACGCAAAGCACCCAATTGCGCTTTCCAAACTCGCAAACTCGTTAAGGTGCATCCGCCATTGGGACGGCAAACCAAGGCAATGGCCGCGTCAATCAAGTAGCTCAGATGCTGGGCAAAAACGGCCTAAACTCATGGGTAAATTAATTGAGGCTTTGCGAGTACCAAAAGTTCATTATGCGTCTCCATTGTGCATAATAAATCAAGCAAGTGTCTGGTTGGATGACTTGCGATCCACACTGGCCCTCATCACAACAGCCAATGGAGGTTCGGATATTCCCTCGTTGAGCGCATCGGTATTAATGGAATAGGCTTGTCTTCACATAGTTCCTGCGCCTTCTCAACACAGTACGGATCACCGCCCATCACTCCAATAACAGAATATACAGAACGGAGCAGCGGGTGGCCATTCTCCCAAAAAGCTGAGATTGCTTTGCGTGCTTGGTTGTGCATGTGTACCCTACAACGACTACAAGCAATAACCATAGCCTTTCTCCTGAGACCAAGTGCAGCCGCATTGCAACTTCTACCATGGCAAACGACTTTTCTCTCTTCACGTCGCTCCGATTTGATGTCAAGCTCAAGCAGGTCCCATCCATGGGCCTAGAGTATGCTGGATGGAACTACCGAAATGAGTCACCACTCTACATGCTCGACTATCACCGCGATCGCATGCTGCGGGCTGCCGTGCATTGGAATTGGAACAAGGTGATTGAAAAGCTATCTGGAGACGCAGGACTTAGAAACCTTGCTGAAGCAGCTGAGGCTGCAGTTGGCCCTTCGGAGACTGGGCCATTTCGACTGCGAATATTGGTCACAAAACAAGGCGACATCTCGTTCCATAAGTACGACACTCCTGCCCTCGATATCGGCAACTTTTTCCCAGAGTCACTCCCTGCACCAGGAACATTACCGAGCCCAAGCCAGCCGCAGGTCCCTCCGTTGTTTACCGTTGTCGTGGACAGTGTTGATTCCTCAAGGTCGGAATTCACCCATTTCAAGACCACCAATCGGGCACTGTACGACGATGCCCGGAGCAGAGCTGGCATAGGCTCCCTCGGTGCAGCAAATAGCGTCGAGGTCTTGGTGATCAACGAACAAGACAACACCATCATGGAGGGAAGCACTACGACACCATACTTCTGGCGTAGTGGGAGATGGGTTACGCCGCCCGTGTCTGCCAAATACAGTAGACAAGGTGGGAGTGGAGGAAATGATGGCACCTCCCGACGATGGGCCCTGGAGCGGTGAGTAAGAAACGGCATGGTTACCGTTGGTTGAAATTGCTGATCGTCTTTTGCTAGAGGCTTGGCGGTTGAGCAAGCAATCAGGGCTGATCAACTTCTTGACGGAGAAGCTTGCTACATAAGCAATGGTGTTAGTGGATTTAGGTTTGGAACCGTCAGTTTGAAGAGAAAGGGCCAATGATTGACAAGGTAAAATATTGATAACGAGCTCACGGCATATATTCTACTGGTGTAAAAAAAAATTATTTCCGATGGGTGGAATCATGACTCTTGGCCACCTACCTACCTACCTAGGTAGGCAGGTAGTTATGTGTCAAGTACATGAGAACGAGGACTCAGTAACATCAATTGATGTTTTGGATTGGCGAGGTTCAGCGCGAAGGTGAGGTGGGAAGGAAGGGCCCTTGGGAAGCTAGGAGGGCAAGTGGGGTTCTAGAACAGCTTCAAGCCAGAAGACGCATCAACGCGCGAGTCAAAACTCAACATGACATGATTGATTACGTCGACTTATTTTGGACAGCAGAACCCCAAGGCTCAATGTTGAAGACTTTTATTTCGTGTTGATGATGTGCCGTCACGGTCAACGACGCCGAGTTCATTAGGCATCCCGCTGATCTCTGGTTTGTCGCGCTGCGGTCCGAAGGGCTTTATCAATTGTCCATCTGTCCATCGGGGTTGCACAGCTAAAGACGCAAGGCCACCGCCGTTATCCATGCGCCGCCTTTCGCAATCTTTGCACGGCATGATGTCGTCGTCCCGTGATGTCGAAGGCGAGACTGCCCTCGCGGATATGGTTGTCTCTGGTCGTCAGTCTTATGAGGCGCAGCAGTACAAACGGGCTCTGGAACAGTTCACACGAGTGAGAGCCCGACAACCCCTATTGTGCAAGAGTGAGACCTCTTCTGACGTTTTGATAGGCAATGAAATACTGTCCTTGCGCTAGGGGGGTCAAACGTGAGAGGTGTACATGCAAGAATTTTGAAAGGGTCGCTGCTGAGGAGGGTTCCATCTTCAAAGAAGCCATGTATAACTGCAAATGCGACGTCGGGAGGACCTTCAACAAGTGTGACAATAGGAACCACATCCAGGCCTTGGATTACCGAGCTGCCACATTTGAAGCATTGGGTAAACTGGATCGTGCCAAGAAAGATGCCGAATGGATTTTGGAGCTGGCTCCAAGACTTCCAGATGTAAGTGAACTTTCCTGGTTGAAGTCCGCCTCGCACTGACAATAGACCATTAAGGGATATCTTCGCCTGGGCAAAGTAGCGCGGCTACAAAAGAACCATGAATTCGCGTGGAAGATCTACAATGCTGGCATCAGCATTAATAAAAATGTAGAAGTGGCGTCATCGCCAAAGTTACAGGTGCATTCTGCCAAGCCCGAGCTCGCAGACGGCATATTGGACTGACGTGAATTTAGCAACTTTACAAAGCCCGAACACCGCTTCACAGACATTTCTCTAGGAAGGATCCCCTCCGGCTGCCTACAGAGATTGCGATGCTTATATTCTCATACATGGAATTTGCTGAATTGCCGTATGAGCCCTGCTTAAATCTAGCCGAAGATCCTTGTACTGACGTTCTTTGCGTAGTCCATGTTTAGGCGTCTGCAAGCTATGGAGACGCACCTTGACAAGCCCTTTGCATGATCGGTTATGGAGGACAATGATATTTCCTGGCAGAGGCATGAAGCGTGCCCCTCGATACGATGCTCTGAAGAAGATGCTGTCTTGGGCAGGCAAGGGCGGAGCGAGGAAGATCGTCATCCCGCTACCGAAAGCATTTCTACTAAACCAACAAAAGCTAACGCTACTCTTGAGAGCATCCCCGTGCTTAGAATACTTGGAAATCGGCCCACAATTCGATATCCTAATGTTTCCACCCAAAGAGAATATGTGGACAAAGCTACGGCATGTTTCTATCAATGGCACTGGTGATCCCGCTAAACCGGCTTGGAGTACACCCGTAATTCCAATAGGCGGATTTCCCCTGGCGTTTCTTAACAACGCTGCGGCTTCGCTGGAGCATCTTGTTCTCACCGGAATACCAGAGCAGTGGTATATGACACAGTCTGTGCCGTTTCTTCCCAACCTAAAGACCTTGCGGATGTGCAACATTTCTACATTACGCCAGTCATTTCCTATAGTATGTTCTCTCAGAAACGGTGATCAAATAGCTGAACAAAAAAGAGGACTAACCATCGTCATAGTTTTTCCTCTCTGACGCCTTCCCTCGACTTGAGCAACTCTGGATCGGCCCCAACATCCCAAACCTTGACTCAAACTCCCTATCCGGCTGGCGAGAAAAGTGGCATACGATGTGGAACCATCTCAAAGTCCTCATATTTGAGGAATCATCCGTTGTCGGCCCCATTTCCCAAGTCGAGAATTCGCTCCTCACGCTGCGTCTTTTGACATGCCTAAACAACGGCAACTCCCTACAACACATCCGCTTCGACATCCCCTCAGACAACGAGGATCGACATGGCAGGCATCGCGTATTCAGCAACAGTCGTACTTTATACGGTGATATTGATATACCCCAATATCCCGAATTTCGGAACCTTCACTCACTCGCCTCCAAGTCCTTGTGCATCTCCCCAGACATATTAAGAATCGTATTTTCTGATGCTTTGAATATGGGAAAAATACAATCATTTGACATTGTATTTCCAATAGAGTCACTGAACGATCGTATCGGAGACAGGAGCATTACTCACCTCAAGGGATACGAATGGCTTCGTGGCGCAGCATCTATCACGTCCATGGGCTGCTACAGGTTCCGATTTAGATCGTACCCCCGAAACGATGATGACCTACCACTTCCCCCATTTCTGGCGAGCTTTCCGAATCTCAAAACGCTGAGTATTTTCTCGGAGCATTATGAGGAGGCGGAATTTGCTGGCGTAGTGGCAGCCATTCTGAAGGTGACTACATTAAAGACAATCTATACAACATCGGTCAAAGGCGCGGTTATGGATCAGTTGAGGACGGTTGCAGAGAGCCAGGGCGTCAAGTTGATATGGGGGCATCAGCCACAGGCATGGCCGGTGCCATTGGATGAATCGTAAGGAACACAAGAGCCATATGTTTTGGACACAGGATAAGGACCGACATTGGCGACTGCTTGTGGATTTGGATATGGAAAGACCAAATTTTGTCTATAAAGTCTATTCTAGATAGTAGTGGCATTATGATAAATATCACTCCCCTGACTGTTCACGCTGTATATAATCCAACTCCTCAAGCATGCTGATCCCAAACACAAAAGCCCTCCCAAGCCAACTTATCCCCTGCCAACCTTGAAGGACAATATCTATAGACGTCAGCAAGCAGTCAAGCAACAGCCATTGCAGGCCCGCCGCCCCTTCACAAAAAAAGAAAAAAAAAAGAAGGAAGGAAGGAAGGAAAGAACAATAAACTTACATCATTCTTCCCAACAGCAACGTAATCGTCCTCGGCCACTCTCAAACCCCCAATACCTTCAACATAGGCAATCGGCGCATCTCCCATGACCTTCTTCGCAACATCCCCCACCGTCGACCCCTTCTTGACGAGCACACAATCCCGAAACACAACCTTGGACTCTGACGCCCCGGAGCTAAAGGTTGCTGTATTCCTCACCGGAAACACGGGGACCAGCCCTAGCAGCTCTGCCGCCCTCGTCAGAACCTGCACGACGCCCGTCGACCCGAACCGGTAGAGCACCATGTCCTTTAGGTTCTCTATCCGGTTGCGATTCTTCTCATCCAGTTCTTTCAGGCCCCCGCCGTCGGGGTCGCCCTGCTCAATGAGATCCTCGCGCGTGTCTATGAACTCGCTCCCCTCGACGTACTTTATGTACCCCTGTTTGGCCATTTTCCGCAAAAAGATTTCCGAGATTGCGGAGCAGAGAACGATTGTTTTGGGGTCCTGCATCTTTGCGATTTTGGAAATGTTCTTGTCGGCGTCCGGATGGTCGATTTTATTGAGGGCAATGACGGTGGGGAACTTCTCGTCGACAAAGGCGTTGACAATGTGCGCGACCGTCTCGTCGGACCATTCCTCGAGGGGCTCCTTGACGGCGGCCCTGTCCAGGGTGCGGGCGATGACGGTCGACGTGGCGCCGTACCCGGAGAACTGGCCCTGGAGGGTTTCCACGGCGGTGGCCTTGACGGCGACGTGGCGGCGGCGGATGCTGGGCCATCGCTGCATGAGGTTGCCGAGGATCCAGGCGACGATCTCGCTCCGCAGCCAGGCGATGTCGACGGAGGGGTCGTAGCCGCGCGTTTCCTTGCCCTCGGCGTCCACCGTGCCCGAGGCGTCGACGACGTGTATTAGGGCGTCGGCGTGGCGGAGGTCGTCGAGGAACTTGTTGCCCAGGCCGCGGCCCTGGTGGGCGCCGGGGACGAGGCCGGCTACGTCGAGGAGCTCGATGGGCACGGAGCGGCGGCCGTCGACGCAGGCGCCGTAGTTGGGCTTGCAGCGGTCCGAGACGTTGTGGCGGGCGCAGGCGCAGTCGATCTGGAGGTAGCCGATTGCTCTTTGGGGGTCGATGGTGGTGAAGCTGTGTGGCGCGTGTTAGATGCCGAGTTTTGGGAGCGGACACGGAGTGTAATGTACGTACGGAAAGTTGCCTGGTTTTCGGGAGAGCGTTGTCAGCGGGTTTGCGCGCATTTCATTGAGGCAGTGGGCTGGAGCTTTGCGTACCGACTTTGGACGAGGCATCTGTCAGGCTGTTTAGGGTTGTGCTCTTGCCGGCTGAGGGTTTGCCTACGAGGCCGATGAGCGGATCGCGAGGCATGGCGGGGTTGTTTCGCCGCCTGAGACGGACGCGAGGATGTGTAGGAGGCCTCTCGTTGCGCAAAATATGGCTATATGATGGGAGAATTGGAGGGATGCAGGGAGGATTGACTAGACAGGGCGGCTGCGGTATCTACCCCCTTGGAGGCGTAGGCTTGTGCAAAGGAGGAGTTCGTGCGATGGTCCGGTTCTTGAAGTCGCAAAATTTGGAGATGCGAGGTGGACAAGGCTGATGCCCCGCCATGAATGGATCCATCGGTCGGTTCTGCAGGCACTAAAAGGGTAATAATGGGTCCAACGGCCCCATCCTGGTCAAATTGGGACCAGACCGTCACTTACACCAGGCGTCTCCATGTGTTCCCGTGCCATTGATCAATCACCATATACTTTAAAGAATTTAGTGGGTTGGGTGAAATTTAGGACAGTTAGAAGATCTTTGGTTGTCGGACCAAAATTTTTGGCCGCTACAGGATACATGGGTGTGAGTTTGACCAGACAAAACACCTCGAGAACAAGACACTACATCAACTACCTTCAAATGGTCCCGATGTTAGGTTATGAAGTTGACGCCGCTTTTGGCAGCAACGACCCGTAGGGCTGTCACTTTGCACGACCCCCAAGGGACCCCTCTCGAGTCTCGAGCCTTTTTATCCCGGAAACCACATGCAACATTGAACATAATGAAATGCGGCCACGCAGAAGCTCAGAAGCCCTTTTAACTAACAGAACACTACGGCGGACGGGAACAGTCCAGAAAGGAGCTCAGAGACGGATGATGGACAGTCTTGATGGTTAGTTACACTACATTGATATAGCCTTCGTAGACGTCAACCTTTTGCATGTCCATGGTAGGAATTAAATCAAGCATCAGTCTGGTTCATACACAACACGATCAAGAACATATCGCTATCCTCGCCTCACTGCTGGCTTACTCCAGTAAACTACGGCCTACAACAAAGCGATCAAGTGAAACGGCGGCAGCGAGGAACCGGAAAGTGGCTTCTAGAGCAATTCCACTAGGGGGGCTTGAGGTAGAGAATCAGAAGCCATTCTGCCCAGGTATCCCCGGTGCAGACAAAACAGTCCTGACGTCAGTTGCGGTTAATCTTCAGTTCAAAACACGTCCCGCGTATATCTACTTTGACTACCAACAGCACCAAACCGAACGGACGCGGCCATCCCTGGACGAACGCCTCAAGTCCATTTTCCTCTATAGTATGGTATGTGCACACAATTCACCAGAGTCAACGGTAGCCGCAGAAGCAGACCCCGCACGCACCCAGGTCGAGCTGTAGTTTTATGCGGCCGCTTCTGCGACCTCTGTTGACGTGTCATTCACGTGAGACGTATTGGACGAAGTCTGGGCTTATTTCAAGACGAGCACGCTGACGGGTCGACCAAAGGTCACGGCTGAGACTTCAATGACAGACATGTCGAGTCACCTTGAGAAAGTCCAGCGCTCTAGGTCGGATTGCGAACGGGATGCCGGGCAGTTATGGCTGAAGATATGTGAGCTGCAAGAGGCTCAAAAGAAGTTGGAAACGGAGATTGAGCAAGAGAAAGGGAAAGAAAAGACGCCAAGATAAATAGACTTACAAGTTATACTTTTGTATTATTTCTTCAGCCTGTTTAGTGGCTTCCTTGGCCTTTGCGTTTAGTGCTTGCAGATTCAAAGGTTCTTCTTGAATATAAAGCCCACGGTCCTTCAAGAACCTCGTATATTCCTCGCATAGCTCCGCCTGCTGTTGTACTTGTTGTCGGATTGCATCGTTGGATTCGTAGTAAGTATGGACGGAAGCGCGCAAGTTTCCAGTTGGACAAAGTCTTTCATAAAAGCGGGCGACGATTTCTGCAAATTCAGTAGGGTATCGGATGATGTGAGCAACGTACAAAGCTTCGTTTGGCTCTTCGTTTGGCTCTTTGTACCATTGCCTTAGGAGCTGACCGCAGGCCGAGTTCGTTTTAGCCTTTTCTTTGAGAATACTGCGAAACTCGCCATGTGTGTTATGGAATGCCATGATACTGTTCTCGTCCACACCAGGGATCCACGGTGGTGGCGAGAATAATAGCCCGGGAACAGTGCTTGCATCATCCCAATCAATAATGCCATTGATTTGCAGGTCATCACCCACGATTATGTTTGGAAGTCGCAAATCTGAGTGATGGAGAGGATATCCATCTTCTTCTAAACCGGGCTCTACGTCAGTAAAATATTTCCCCATGAAATGGATCGCGAAGGCCTCAAGTTTAATGTCGTCGATAGTCTGGTCGGCAGCTGGAAGCGCCAGCGAGTCAGAGATGATCTTGAGTTGGCTTTTCATGTACTCTTGTACTGACGTAGTTGGAGGGACGCTACGTCGGAGCTCATTTAGCGGTATCGATCGCAAATCACCAACTTCCGGGAGCCGCCCTTGCTTTTGAGCACCAGGGATCCCAGCGCTGGGAGCTTGGTCTGTCGTAGCTCAACGAGGATGTCGATTAGCTGTCAGAAAAATTTCGCTCGCTGCTCAGTTGTCGATTCAAATAGCATCCGCCGTGCAAGACTTTGACCGGGGATAAAGTCTACAATGAGGAAAAAGAATTCCATGTCGCCATTGTCCGATAATTGTTCATTAGAGCCATATGCGCGAACACGAGCTACCGGGACTCGTGTTGTGTCCTTTAGATACTCTGAAATAGCGACGTGGCCGAGTATTTTCTTCCATGGATCGTAAACGAATGGCAGGATCGGAATTCGGACGACGCATTTTGTTTCATCGCCAAATTCGATGATGAAATTGGCATTAAAACTCCCGCTGTTGCAGCTTAGAATGCGACAGGATGTTTGTGTGCTGTGACGCAAGGCCAGTGCCTTGACCTTTTCGTGAGAGATTGCGGAAATGAAATATGATCGTCGTCGTTCGTCCTGCTCAGGAGTGGCTGGGAAGTCGTGGACCCACGATGCTGATCGTTCTCCAAAAACAATGCTAAACAGAGTATGTTGAAGCTTGCTAAAGCCTTTTACCAGCCTGGGAAAAGTACTTAGCAGCCTCTGCCAAAAAAGATGCATCCATGATGGCAACATTTTAATACCTGGAAATAGCCCATCAGAAGCAATAACCTCCTGATCAATGACATATACCGCCTGCCAAATATAGATATTCTGCCACTCTCAGATAACTACCTAGGTACCTAGGTAGGTAGCGGCCTGGCTTCCAGACCCCGCAGTACATTTATTTACAGTATAAATTTACAGCAGCCTTTCTTAACACTAAAAAGCTCTAATAAAAGTTAACAAAAAATTTAATAAAGCTATGATTATACAGACCTTTTTGAATAGTCTGTAGTATATCTCCTTCTTTTAATATCATAACTAATGTAACTTTTCCTACAGTAGTTCTACTGGACTTTTAGTAGGTCGAACCATCCCTCACCCACCCGCTGCATAAAACAACGTCACACACCGTTCGTACTGATCCAGCCGGCGCACCCAGCCGGAAGCAAACCGAATTTTCCTCAGCTAGTCCGGAAGCCAACAAGCACACGGCATTCAGGCCATCAATGTCATCCCGACTCCCCATCGATACGTTCCCCGCATGGGCTCGTCTCAACGACGTTCGTTTCACGCACGTCAAGCTTCAGGATGTAGGCGAGGGCAAGGGGTTCGGGCTTGTTGCGCATTCGGATCTGCAAGGTGCTGAAGCGGATGGCACGAGCGAAGGACTTGTCAAGATTCCTCACGATCTGGTGCTATCTGCCGAGGCCGTGGAGGACTTTGCCAAGGTTGACCAGAACTTTAAGCAGTTACTTGAAGCAGTGGGACGACAAGTACGTCGCTATATCCAACCCGAATAACGCGGCTTATTGACCGAGGACAGTCCACGAGAGGTGATATAATGCTCTATTTAGTCTCTCACCTCGCCCAATCCAGCCACCCAAAGGGTCTATCGCCCACCCCATGGACTGAGTACATCCGCCTTTTGCCTCGGCCCATTCCCATTCCAACTATGTGGACGGAGCCGGAACGCCTACTCCTAAATGGGACGTCGTTGGAGGTTCGTCTGTCATCCGTATGCCCAATATAGTAAATGGGGCCCATTTCTGGATTACCCCGATATTTGTTTTATCATCATGCCCTATTTTCCTCATCTTACTACGCGTCATATGGGCCTAGACTGACAGCGTGATAGGCTGCCCTGGAAGCCAAACTCCTCTCTTTGGGCAACGAGTTTGACACGCTGCGTGAGATATCCGAGGATTTTCCATTTTGGAACGAGTTCCTGTGGAGCGGCGAAAGGATTTGTCTGGAGGACTGGGTATTAGCTGATGCTTGGTACCGTTCGAGGTGCTTGGAGCTACCACGGTCAGGAACCGCCATGGTCCCGGGACTTGATATGGTGAACCATTCCAGCAAAGCAACAGCTTATTACGAAGAAGACGACAATGACCATGTTGTGCTTCTCATCCGCCCGGGATGCCAAGTTCGCAGCGGCGAAGAAGCCACAATCTCCTATGGCGACGCTAAGCCGGCTTCTGAGATGCTCTTTAGCTACGGATTCATCGACCCCAATAACATTGTGGAAAAGCTGACACTGCGCCTGGATCCATTCCCAGATGATCCCTTGGCAAAGGCAAAATTGCGAACGTTCAACGGCGGACCGACCTTGACAATCTCACGAAAAGACACGGAAGGTTCGCAGGGAGCGTCTTCAGTCGTATGGCGCTCACCGTTTGTGTACTTGATGGTCCTCAATCAGGAAGACGGCCTGTCGTTCCAACTGCTCCAAGATACTGCAGGGAACAGACAGCTAAGACTCTTTTGGCAAGGTGAAGATGTGACAGATCAAGCGGACGATTTCGAGACCCTCATCCAGGGCCACGATCTCTGTCCGGTATTTAAACTCAGGGCTGTTACCGTGTTGCATGAGAAGGTCGGAGAGCAATTGACCCGAATTAGTCGCGGCCCATCAGACAATGAGCTAGAGCCCCTGCAGGCGGCTGGCTTGCTGAGAGCGGAATGCATAGCAGCCGCAAGAATATTGAAGGACGTGGAAAGTAGATTGTTGGCCCATGCGTTGGAGGCGTTGGAGAATGAGGTGAGTTTCGTATTTCACCTTGCTCATCTTTCCCGCATATCAGTCGATTGTTCTGTCAATGGCGTTTTGTGGCACACCCTCTTTTGAGTCGGGAGACATGGAAGGATGAGAAGAAAAAAAAAGGAAGATTCGACAGCCGCACAACGAGGCTGATTGATGGAAGACTGACATAATCCAATCACATCGCTCTTTGAGATATTCCGATACTAATCAGGCTTTGTTATGTTCTTCCAGAGGACGAATCTTCTTGCGGACGACCACGTGGTGGCATATCTCGGATCGAAGGAAGATTTCCCAATCGGGCAAGAAGAGCAAGCCACGGCAGCCAATGACGACGCAGACGACTTTAGTTGACCGAGGATGAACTGCCTAGCGTACTTGCAAAACCACATTGGAGGGTAGTATGATGGTCTGTAATGGTACTGCAACCGCGAAGTCGCCGTAGGAGGAACTTGTTGCTGTTGTCTCACGTCATTTGGCGTTGGGCATGGAGAGTAGCCTGTATTGGCATGTCCCGTGCGTTGGGCCTCTGTCCTGGGGACATTCTGCTGCGTCTGAATTTCGGCGCTGCTAGAGCGGTTGTGGTGATGGCGGCTCACTTTGAAAGTGCACAAATGATTCCGTCTTGGAACAAGCTACCCAAAGGAGTAGCTAAGGTCACGGGGCGACGGCTGTCGAGTTGTATTGAGAGGTCGGTCCACCTCTCAACAACCGAGCTACTGGTCAAACAAACATACATGTCGCTGGCTTAAATTCAATAATGTCATGTCCATATTTGTCAGGCAACCAAGACGGGTCAGCATGTCTGGGGTAATCTCACCGTACCCAACTCTCTGAGTGGACTGGAGAAGCACAACCCCACAATGGACGACAAGACAGCTCATCTGGGGGAGCCCTTGGGGCCCTTGGGACCACTTGGAGGCGGTTGTGGACGCCGGGATTGTTGTGGCTTGTTCGCTACGACTCATATTGGAGGAGATTCTCGAAAATAGATGACTCCAGACATTGTCCCCCAGGTAGGTATTCTGTTTTGATGGCGGCTTGATTGCCAAAGCTCGGCACATCTCTGTGACCATGATTTTAGCCTTGACTAAAGAAGACTGCGTCTTGGTGGAAAAAGTTGGCTGGGCAAGTTGGGCTAGCAGGACGACAACTCTATGAGCAGAATTAAGTGGTGTGGTTCCGGCTTGGCGTCAATGCGAGAGTTCAGGGCCTACGAATCCCTCATCAGCGTGCCCAGGGGGTTGCAAAATCAATTGAGGGACGATAGAAATAGAGTATGCGATCTTCAAGGGAGGCTACCAAGTGCTGGCGAATGGTGGCGAATGTTGGCAGAAGAAGCAGGACAAGCAAGCTACAACAAAACCTGCGTCAAGGTCTTGGCGAGCACAACCGGACAGGCGGTATTATACCCTCTCCCTCCGAGCATTGAGGGTGTGGTCTGGTGTGGTGTGCAGCCATGTCTCAGGGCAAACTTAAACTTGCAAACGCTGGTACAAGCGACCCAATGGAACCGTGGTGGTCAGGGGACCTAAACGGTTTTTCTTCATGTTCCCCGCATTCTAAATGGCCGAATCCGGGGTAATCTTACCATGATAGGGTATGTTCGAGATGCCGATGTTGGGCGTGCAATGAACATGATTTGCCGGAACCAGGACGGCAAGTTTTTAGCCCTTCACGATAGCTGGGGGAAGGAGGTATATGTAAACGATGCAACTTCCCAGAAAATAAAAAACAGACCCCATGTGCTTAGTTTGTGTGCATTTTGATCTCCTAGCGCTGAGAGTATTGAGCAAAGCGAGCGACCATCTCGTAGCAGCGTTCCATGGCTTCCGCAAGACTGTCCGCTATGATGCCACGATGACGGGCTTGTCTCAATTACTGTCGTTGGAGAATGGGCCAACATCGTAATGGATCACGTCGTTGTAAAGGCAGACTCAAGACTGAATTAAGTCGAGGGTAATGGCCGAGACGGATATGCTGCATCACGATGAATGCAGTCTTTCCATATGTGACAAAACATGCTCGTCGCGTCGTGTTGAAAGAAGGCGACGGAATCCAGAATTTCAGGGCAGAGTCCGACATCAGCCGATATTGTCTGCCGGGTAAAGGGGAGGCGCAAGTTGGTGGTGATGTGGCGTCTGCGTCGTGAATCGTGATGATTGATTGACGATGGGGACTGGAAAGAGCAAGCCTGGAGCGGCCGCCAACTGGGCAAGTGCTCGGCTAAGACCGTGAGGGCGGTTGGCGCCAAGGCTCACTGGCTGTTGACGACCAGACCAGACGACATGGGCGCCTGTGCTGCCCCAGACAAGGCATCTGGGCGTCTGGTGGATCGTGGACCCGGAGACCCGTAATCCCCCGCCTCCCGTTGGCTCAATCGCACCCAGGCCAGGGTCAGTGTCCTGAAGACCGGGAAGCCAAGAGCAGCGCCTGGCCAAGCATCCCGATTGCACTTTCCCCGGAATCCTTTCGTCGACACTCCTCGTAGCCTGCACTGTACATGCCCCCCGAGATCTAGGACAAGATTGAACATTGCCTTGAGGCGACGAACCGACCGGTCGACCATTGGATCAGTCGAAGCTAACAAGAGGCGCCCTCACCCTCAAGCCGGCCGTGCTCGCAGCAGTCAGAACAGTCAAAAAAGTCCGACCATGACCATCTTGCCCCGGACATCTCCATTCCCATTTCATCATTTCATCGTCCACTCCACATATCTATCCCTTGTCTTCTCACGCTGTTCTTGCCCGGCCCACTTCTACTTATCCCATGACGGTTTCTCTTCTTCGCTTCCAACTTCAATAAACCTCCCCACTCTGGTGACGAGCACGCCAACTTGACTCCTTGTTGTGTCCTTCCGCCTCCGCCGACAACGAGGAACTTTCACAGGGTCAGAAAGCAGGGACTACGGATACATCTCTTTGCGAGTTCCGGGACGAAAGAGAAGCAACAACAACAGAAGAAAAATCGAGCCTGCATCCCTAGTCATTCTAGACATCTGGGGAGAGAATTTGTCCCGCGTCTTCGAGAAGCGCAGCCCAGACAAGAGGTAGGAGGGGAGCCCTGGCGTGAACTCGCCAATCGACGTCTACCTCAGCGCATACTTCCCAGCCTGCAAAGTTATCGAGCAGGACGAGCTCAACGGCTCAACGGCTTCCAACACTACACATTATACGCATCATTTGCCCGTCTTCCACTTCGATAAGATACCGAGTGCGCAACGTTTTAATCTACCAAGTCAATTAATCCCAGGGCGTTGCCAAAATGCCAGGCATCCTGCCTATGAAGGTCATCAAGGTGGGCAATAGCGCTCAAAGCCGCATTGCCCAGGCCTGTGACCGGTGCCGCAGCAAGAAAATTCGTTGTGATGGCGTTCGTCCGACTTGCTCACAATGTGCCAATGTCGGCTTCGAGTGCCGGACCAGCGACAAGCTGAGTCGCCGGGCCTTTCCCCGTGGATACACAGAGTCGTTAGAGGAGCGAGTTCGGCAATTAGAAACCGAGGTCAGAGAGCTCAAAGACCTCTTGGACGAAAAGGACGAGAAGATAGATATGCTTTCCGCCATGCACGGCAACCACCATCGCCAACCATCACTCACATCTGTCTCCAACACACTGCCGTCGCCAGACGCCTCCAAGGACAGTCCCGCATCTACTGCCAAGGAGGATACTTTCCGCGTGCAAGGCTCGCCGTTGCTTTTTGGCGTCGAGAATTCAGATTCCTACTTCATGGGTCCGTCCAGTGGCCGTTCATTTATCAGTACGTCAACTTTCCCATCGTAGGCCTCACTGTAGCAGCGCCAACTAACCGCCTCCCAACAGCCTCCTTCAAGCACAAACTTAGACAGAGTGGGAAATCGTGCAATGACTTTAATCCAGAAGCCTTTCTACACGTTCAAGGATGCGCGCAATTGACTCAGGAAGAACCTAGCCAGGTCTCCCGCCTACCTCCTCGCATCTTTTCCGACCGGTGTGTCAACGTCTACTTCCAGGAGTGGGCACCACTGTTTCCGGTTTTGCATAAGCCTACCTTTCTTCGCATCTACGAAGAGTTCGTGGCCGATCCCGAAAAGGTCAAGTGCCATCACAAAATCGCCCAGCTGCATCTTGTTTTTAGCATTGCCGGCGTCTCATCTGAACAACCCGACTACCCGCAACTGGCCGCTTGTGAAAAGCAGTGGGCCAAAGCTATTGAATCGATGGTTCTGCAGAACACTATGAGCACGCTCCAGTGTCTCATCCTTGCGCTCCTGTATTGCGCGGTTAGGGCAGACAATAAGCGAGTCCAGCACTTCAAGGGGCTGGCCATTGGGCTGTCGCACCGACTCGGGCTGCATCAGAGCCAAAAGCGGTTTTCTTTCGGGGCCTTGACTTTGGAGACGAGGAAAAAGGTGTTTTGGACTCTTTATACTCTTGACTGGTAAGTTGGACAGTGTATCAGGTCTGCGCCCGGGTCGTATCTGACAGTATCGTATGTAGCTTTACTGCTGCTACCCTTGGGCTGCCAAAAATGCTCAGGGAGGACGACATCCACACGGAATATCCATCTGATACAGATGATGAATACATTACCGAGAAGGGATTTCAACCTACATTGCCGGGAGAACATACTAGATTGTCCAGCGCCCTGGCTCTTTTCCGGGCCACTCGGATCATGGCAGCAATTTTGGAAAAGAACTATCCTGCAGTGGCCAACCATGAGCTCTCTCTTCAACAAATGACTAGTTTTGAGGCGGATCTTGATGCTTGGTACGACGAATTACCCGCGCATTTACGACTGAACTTCTCTCAAGACAAGCCATCAACAGACGTGACTGGAAGCAGATCTCCCATCCTGGTAGGTTTATACTTCCGCCTCTCCCCGTCGGAACTGCCATTTGCTAAACCATGACATGCGCAGGCCTTGGCGTACTATCATATCCGAACCCTAATCTATCGTCCCGCTGTTGGCTCTAGCCTTGGTGCGAAGGCCGCACCCGCCCTCATTTCCATTGCGGACTCCAGCAAGCGAATCATTCAAATCGTTCAGCTGCTCGAGGAGAGAAACATGAGCTTCTCGTTCTGTCTCAATAAATTTGACCTCCTGGCCCTCTGCGGCCTGACGCTTCTCTACCAGGTCGTCGATCTGAAGGCGGACAGTAAATTGAGCCGCGACATTGAGAAACTTGTCAACTTTGCTATCAAGTCGATGAGTCAAGCCAAGGCTCCGGGATGCATCGATCTGGCCCGCATTGCAGCCAATCTTATCCGGGTTGACGAACATCCAAGCCCTCTTCCACCTCAAGCACCAATGGCGGCACCATCACAGCGTTCGTCCTCAAAAGGCTCGAAAAAGAAATCAGAACTTCAACAGGAGCACGACGGAATGCGTCGCATGACCATGCCCAATACCCATACCCATACCCTGGAAACAGAGTTTTATCCTCGATCGCGGCAGTCCTTTGATAGCGTCACCTCTTCTGAGGCATCGACCAACTACCAAGGCCACCGTTTGTCAGTAGTAACACACCCAAATAGCATTAGCACTAACACTCCGATATCCCGCGTCATTCCCAATCTTGATTATTTGTCCCTGAACAACACCCCATCCCATACTGGTGCGTCTTCACCCGCTGGGAAATCCCGCATGCAGACGCCAGGATTGTCAGTATCGCCATCCGGTCAAATGATGGCCGTCGTCGACCCTACAGCAAAGATGGCGGACGTGTGCAGTTCTGAATGGGAGGCGCTGCTCGGATCGATGGATAACAATGTTTACGATGCCATCTATGGTGGTGCAGGCCTCCCAAGTGAGACAGTACCCGCGAACTCGAACAGTGCTGGTGCTGATTGGTCGCCAGAGTCTTGGGACGTGAGCAGCATTAACGTTGGTGACTTTGGACGGAATCCGGAGCCGCCACAAAGCGTGCTTAGCATGAGTGACGAAAGTTTGAGCTCTGGCGAAGAAGTTGCTCCGTCAGAGTTGGGCCTTAGCGTGGGAAGCGCAGAATTCAATAAATTGCACATGCCAGAAGCCTATGGCTTCGACCTCGAGGGATTTCCTTTGTGAGAAGAGCTGAGGTTTGCTGTTGCGCCCTATTTCGGATTATTGTTTGGCTTTCTGGTATGGACGATAGATCGAATCGGTATTGTTTGTCATTTGTTGGGTGCTAGCTGGCGTTTAGGAGGGACCGATGATATGGAGGGTGTAGCGTCGTTCTATTTATTTATTTTTCTCTGACTTGTTCTCTTTATGACGGAATACTGGTATTTCTGTGATGGGCTTCGGTGGCATTGAGGATGCTGGGTACTGATATATCAACAGACGGCAAGCTTTGGATATTGTCAGCGGCGTATGTATGTGTAGGATTTGGAAGCTGTGCTGCCATTGCCCCAGATTTACCGGGCTGTAACTACATGGGCTTATTTGAGTCAATATTTATCAGTTGCGAACGGCCTCACTGGGCAAAACTGCTTTGCAAACTGCGTTAACCATTGTGGTGAATTGGGCAGGTACGTCGACGCACATTCTCACTTGTACCCAGAATCACAACCTCCTCGCTGGTACGCCACAAGATTCAAAGCCGCCCATCCCGTTTTCATTAAACCCGTTCAATAATGGCAAAGTGTCCCATTCTACCGGCATACCCGAAGGCCAAAACGGCGCAGCCCCATGCTAAACTCCGACCGTAAACATTCCATCTCCATCGCAATGCGCATCGGCAAATAGAGCAATAACCACCGTGTACCGCCGTCCCATCTCATACATTGCATGAACCCCGCGAGCCGCATCCGCCCACTCATCTTGCATCTACAAAAACACCATTTTCCCTCTGTCCTCACCTTTTCGACCACGCCGTCGTCGCGCTTCCACACCGTCCCGCCCTCCAAACTCCGTCTTCGCAGCCGCCCTATCCGAGACTGGTCGCTCAAGGACGACGCAGGCCACATTGTTGTCGTCAAGATGGCGGATGAGAAGGATGCGCTGCTGCAAGGGGGCGACACGTCATGGGATATTCCAGAGGGTGAGCGTGGAAACATTAGTATATACATACCGGCATCCTTGGCCTGCTAACCCCCGAATACAAAAGCCCCGTGGGCAACCGCCCTTCCGTCCAAGCGAGATCCCGCGCGCTTCCTACCGCAGGCCATCGCGCATAGAGGGTACAAGGCCTCGTGGCCGGAGAACACGATGGGTGCCTTCAAGGGCGCCGTCGAGGCTGGCGCGCACGCGATTGAGACGGATGTGCATCTGTCCAGGGACGGAGTAGCCGTGCTGTCGCATGTGAGGCTCTGCCAACTCGGGCGTAGAAAATCCCCGGTGCTAATGTCGGTTCCAGGACGCAACCCTCACTCGGTGCTTCGGGATAGACAGGAAGCTAGCCGACTGCGACTGGGAATACCTGTCCACCGTGGAAACGCTCCGCGAGCCGAAGCAGGGCCTGCCCCGGCTCCAGGATCTGCTAGAATGGCTCGTCGAAGCAGACAAGCTGCAAGGCGACGAGCACAGCCATCGGCCCTGGGTCCTGCTCGACATCAAGGTCGGCCGTCATCCTCTGCATACTCCTCCCAGAAAATGTACAGCACACCATCTGACCGTAGGGAAACAGCTCGACGACGACCCCCAAGACCTGTTGGACGCCATCAGCAGCGCCATAGCCCAAGTCCCCCCCTCAACACCATGGCAGAGCCGCATCGTCCTTGGATGCTGGAATGTAAGATTTTGGCACGTTCTTGTTAGGGGGGGGAAAAAAAAAGAGAAAGCTAACAAAAAGATTCCCCTAAATAAAATAGGCCTCTGTGCTCAAAGCCTCACGTAGAACCCTGCCGGACTACCCCGTCGCCCACATCGGCTTCTCGCTCTCGTACGCGCGGCACTTCCTGCCCATCCCCAACATGGGCTTCAACATGGCCTTCCACACGCTCGTGCGCCCCTACCAGGGGCGGCGGTTCATGCAAGACGTGCGCGCGGCGCGGCGCCCGCTGTACGCCTGGACCGTCAACCACCCGCGCTGGATGCGGTGGTGTATCGAGCGCAACGTGCCTCGGCGGCCCGGGTCCGGCGCGGGCGGCAGGGTCGTGGACGGCGTGGTGACGGACGACCCCGGGCTGTATCTCGACGTGTGCCGGCGGTACGAGGACGAGGTGGACGACGGTGCGCCGGGGCGCCACCGCAGCTCGGTTAGGCAGACTGTTGCGCTGGCCGTGGACATTGTCACGAGGCATCTGCTCGCCAAGCTGTTCTTTTGGTACAGGAAGCATGTCCAGGGCAAGTTGGATGACTTGGATCGCAAGACGAAGCGACAGATAAAGAGGGACTAAATAGACGGGGATCATGATGGGGACATGGGGGAAATATCTGTGAGCGCACACGGGGTTCTGTGGCAAATTTTTTTTCCCTTTTTTCCCTCCCCCAAGGCGGATATGACGAATTACGACATGACACTATTCAGATTACATGCGCCTGGCCAACTGGTGATATACTACCTTTTTAAACCTGTTTCTTTTCATAAATGTGTAGCCCGTCCCTCAATATCCCGTTCCGCGCAATGCTTTCTCTAAAACGCCATAAATGCACCGATGCCTGCCCTAAGTTACCAACTTCACCGACTAAATCACGACGAATGCCCTATCTAAATCTCCACGTCAATGTCCAGGTCCAACGCCCCAATCAGATCATCATCCATGAGCGGCTTATGAATCCCCGGCACGCCATTGCTCTCCGAGTAATTCTTCTCTTGTAGCTTGGCGAGGTGGGACAGCATCTCGGGCTTAGTAGCAGCAACCTTGGGCGTGCCGTTTGCCGGCGTGCTGGCTTCGCTACCATTGGCAGACAGCTTCTGGGGCGTGTCATTAACATCGTGCACAAACTTGGCCTTTGTCCGGAGTCGTCGCGACGGGTCATCGGCGACCTGCTCGCCCCGCTTAAGGGCCATTTCGATCTCGCGGGCTCTGGCCTTCTCCTTGAGCTGGGCCTTGCGGACGAGCTCGGCATTCATCCGTCTGTTTTCGCGGTTGCGCTCTGCCAGGCGGTCTTGTTCTGTTGCGGCCCGGGGCCCATCCATGTCCCTTGATGAGCCTAGGGTTGTCCTAAAGGCCAGGCGTTGCGTCCCAAGCTGCTCGAGCTCCTCCTGGAGTTCCTGAGCCTTGGTTTCGTCACCACGAGCCACGGCCTCATCAAGCAGTTTGCCAACACGCTCCCTTTCAGTAGGGTCGAACCGACGTTTGAGTTCATTCCTCTTGGCCAAACGGGCTTTGATCTCTTCACTCGTCCATTTGTGGTTGATCAGGTTGTTGATTTCATCAATCTTATCTGCTAGATATGACTTTGTGGGCAGCTTGACGTTCTCATTGGCGCATGTCACCTGATAACGGTTGAGCTCATTCTATGCGAGTAATTAGAAAGTCGTCCCGCTGATGCAAGCCAGCTAGAATGCACACTTACATCAGTAAACTTGCCGCTTGAGGCAGCAATAAAAGGAAACTCCTTGACCGCTTTGCCATGTGCGGCTTTGACGTATTGATCCGTGACAAACGGCCCCTGAGGCCCGGTAAGAGCGTATGGACGGCTAGTGGTGAAGCCTACATGTCATGTCTGGTTAGAAGCCCGACCTCGCATATCCTCGCTCATGAAGCTACTCACCCTTGATAACTGCCATGCGATATTGCTCAACCCCGGTCTCTGGGTGAGGGCCTAGAGCAATTCGGATATAACAACCGGTAATGGCAGACTCAAACCCAGGTGTGAAGCAAACCTGAGCAAACTCATTTCTGCCAAGCCGTACACGCTCAAAGTCCTTCAGCTCAGCGGGTGGTGCTTCTTTCTCTTGCTCCTTCTCGGGTGTTCGGGACCTAGCGCGGCTAAAATCATCACCACTCTCCTCTTCATCCGAATCTCGCCGTACGGGGGAATAATCTCGTCCGCGTGTCTTGTCTTCCTTGCGCTTGGCCTTCTCTGCACGAGCTCTGCGAAGAGAGTCCATGGCAGACTCGTTGCCTTTACCGGTACGCTGCCGTGAAGCCTTTCGTTGGCCGTCCTCCAGCTCTGCGGTGTCGGCGCTACGCTTCTTTTTTAAATTCCTGCGCTCCGTCTCCTCAATCATTTGCCTGAGACGGCGCCTCTGTCGCTGGCGTTCGACCTCGTCCATACGTTCCGCGAGAATTCGCTCTCGGTCAACTTCTCGCATGGCCATAATTTCAGCCCTTTCTGCCTCGCTTGTGAACTTGCCGTCCACGGGATACTTGTCATCTTCGTCGGTACCACCACCCCTCGGCGCGGGCTCAGCGTCTGAATCGGATTCGTCCATGGGTGCTGATTCCAGCGAGTTTGGTGATGAAGGGGCTGAGGATCTGATAGAGGGGAACGAGCATTGAGCCGTTAGCAACGTATTTTATGAGCAACGGCAAACGAGGATAGCCACGAGTGATGACAGATACAGTAAATTCGTTCAATGCGCTGCACACGGGTCCCACAAGGTGATACTCACGCTTCACCTTCCTCTTCGGAATCATCCTGCCTCGCACGCCGTTTCGACTTCTTCGATTTGCCAGCATCATTCCTTGAGCGACGCGGCGACTCTGAGCCACCGCGGCTGCGGACAGAGCCTTCGTCCTCAGAGTCACCACCCGCGAGGGCAAGGAGTTCATCTTCGATGTCAGACATGATGGTATCTTGTGTGATGGGCGGTCTAGCGGCGAGTGTCAAACGGCAATCTCTGCTCAGGTTCGCAAGACAACTCGTGGGATCGACAAGTCACGACTGGGCGTTAGAACAGTCCAAGTCGATGGCTCCTCTAATAGAAAGAGGTCGGAACCGTGTGGTCAAGGGAGAAGAGGATGGCGGCAGCGAAACAATCGCGAGGGACGATGACAATAGGACAGGCGAACAAAAAGAAAGCAAGCTTATAGTTGCAGGACCTTTGGTCGTTAATCGAGTGAGCGCTCCCCATTGGGCCGCAGCAGCACTGGCTTCTACTCGTGTGGCGCGCAAGAACGGAGGTTACTCTTGTCGGCCGCTGCATCGGCAAAAAGTTTGTCCTGGTTGTGTATACAGTGCCATTTTCTCGGCCGTTGAGGTATTCACACTGTCTGCTTAATGAGCACATCTTTTTGTTCTATTGTAAATATATTCCATTAGCTTATAATAGCTCTAGGGTACTCAATAATAATAATAATATATTCCATTCTGTGGCACCATAAGCAAGAAAGTACATGTTCCTTTCTTTAAATATATAAGAAAAGCCGCCCGTATATCACTGGCCATAGCTCAATCGCAATCATTCTGTCAATGTCATTATCGGCTTAAAGAAAAGAGGAGCTATCTCCCTTGGCATTGCAACGCACAGGGATTATATTTGGACGGTCAAAAATATACTAGTATCGTAACGCCTTATGTACTACTAATAAAAGCGGTATCTAGTAAACTACGAGGCACCTACGGAGTACCTAGGTAGGTACCATGGTATATTTTGAGCGCGATACCCAGGTACTCAGTCGTCTTTGCCTCCCACTGTCCAATCGGCGAGTCTCCCGGCGCACGTCCAAAACCCGCTCGGCGTCATCTCCCGCCCGAGCCAGCATCGTTCGATCTTATCGCATTCACGCTCTTCCAACAACCACAAAACCACCAATTGGTGAAACAACCAGCAACCATGGCCTCAACCCGATGCCTTTGCAGGCCCATACGGGGTCTAGCCCCCTCCAAGCTCTTCAGCTTCCCGTCCTGTCGAACAATCTCAACCACCTCTTCCCTGTCGCAGACCTCGTCCGAACCCCCGTCCAACACCAAGAAGCGCAAGCCGTTGACCCGAGAACAACGCGGCTTCCTCTCCTCCGCTGTCCGTCCAACTCCGCCAGAAATCTGATCCCAGGTCCCCACGTACATGAAATCATCACTGACGAACCTTCTCAGCTCCGTGTCAACCAAGCCGGCGAACTTGCCGCCACGCTCATCTACAAAGCCCAGACCCCGCTCGTCGTCCGCCAGCACCCCCATCTCCGGCCGCTGATGGCGCACATGTACGACCAAGAAGCCGGGCACTTTGCAACGTTCAACAACCTCATCCACAAGCACCGCGTGCGTCCGACGGCGCTCTACCCTCTGTGGTCGGTCCTCGCCACAGGTCTAGGCTGGTCAACTGCCCTGATGGGCCGCGAGGCAGCAATGGCATGTACGGAGGCGGTCGAGACCGAGATTGGGGACCATTACAATAACCAGATTCGAGAGATACTGGAGATGATTACGCAGTGGGAGGCAGAGGGCTACGAAGTCAGTGCCGAGATTGGGGAGCTGGTAAAGACATTGAGAAGGATACGGGATGAGGAGCTGGAGCATTTGGACCATGCGGTTGAGCATGATGCGAAGAAGGCAGAGCCGCATTGGTTGTTGACTGGAGTTATAAGGGCGGGTTGTAGGGGAGCGATCTGGGTCAGTGAGCGAGTTTGATGGACACCAAGTTGCAGTGGCATTTTATGCCGTGTATTGACAAAGTGAATATTCAAGTGTACAAATGAGCATGTAATGAATAAAAATGTTTTCGATTACAATCAGCTCTATACAATGTATGACATATGAAACCAGGTTCGATGTAATATTATGCGTGTTCAGGGTGAAGAAGAGAAGAAAAAAGGCGGGATTTTAACGCCGTGTGTATGCTTCCCTTGAGAGGTAAAAAAAAAAAAAAGCATGCCGAATTTTTTGCTATGCAGCTAAAAGACGAAACTCCTTTTGCAATGCAAACAACTTTCTGTGTGCCAGTTTTACCAACTCTGTAAATATTTAAATGTCTCCGTCTCCCACTGCCATATTTGACAGGCTGTACTCTGTACTAGTCACTACACACGAGGGAGTTAGATTACCATATTGACAAGGCTAGGGCCAACTTACTAGATTGACAACGGAGCAACACCATCTACTTGGTAGCCCCAGTTTCCATTCTGCTCCTCGGTTAACAACCAGTCGTACGGAAACTGGACAATGTTGCCTTGGACCAATTTGAGTAGCTCTTCGGCATCGGCTCTAGAAGGCATGTCGTCGAGGGAGAATCCACGACGGCTCCCTTTGGTGTTGGCACGACGACGCTTTTTGACGGACCCGAATTGAGCTTGCGTCGGGATATTGGGAGTCTCCCGCGAGGGCGGCTTGTCCAATGTAGCGAAGGCTGTCTTGCGGTCCGTATTCCTGCTAGCCTGTGGTTCAAGAAGCTTAGCAGGGGCGTCTTCAGGTCCAGGAACGCCTGTGTAGCCATTTGGTACTGTTGTTGGCGAAACATCCGCAACCTTTTCAGCTCCTTGGACGGGGTTCGAATCAAGAGGACCACGTGTATGTTGAACTGGTTCCATTGATTCCTCGATTAACTCCGCGTCACCATTTTTCGCCACCGTGATATCAAGTTTGCCTATATCTTGCTCAAGCGATGGAAGTTTGTTCATTGTCTTCTCTTTGGCGGCAGCTACAATTGCTTCAGGGCCAGGCGCTCCGATGCCCGCTCCGCCAGCAGTAGACTCAACCTGATTGTTGGTCTCGGCTTTTGACATGGACTCCTCTCCAATAGGCTTGCCTTCCATGCTCGCACGGAAACGCGTTCCGTAATCCACGTACTCACGATACTCTTGCCAAGTCCTAACTTCTGAATCTGGCATGCATCGGAAAACTCTGCGGTAAATCTTGGTGTTGTTCAGAGCTGCACGATTCCAAACATCATCGATAAAGCTAGGGAGGAGCGGATCCCGCATGCAGTCCTTGGAGATGTCCGTTGGTGTGATATCTGCAGCCATTGGATGAAAAGCGCCGCTCTTTGGACGACCAGTTGTAGGGTCGACGTGTACCGCCGGCCCACCAATGTCAGTGTCATCAGCAACTGGAAGAGGTGGTAGCTGGGCGGGTCGAAGGAGACCAAGTTGCTCTGTTGTGCGTCGGTTCATCGCAGGCATAGGTGGGAGATCTCCGGTTCCATGACCCTCATTTCCAAGGTGTTGATTGTCAGACATGATAACAAGCTCATGAGGTGGCTTCGGCTGACAGATGGTTCCCCTGCCCTCAGAATTCATGTCGTGTACCAACACTTCACGACCGCCAACTATGACAGAGTCTCGGCCTTCATCCAAGCCGGACTGCTCTGCGAGCTTCCACTGGTCCTCGCCATATCCTGATACGTCTAGCTGCTGCTGCTTCTTCTGTTGCGGGCTCATACTGACGTGAGCCTCCTTGCCCTTCTTCGACCTTGCCTCTGACTCCGACTCCGAAGATGGCAAAGAAGTGTCCTGAAGAGCCTTGGCATGTTCCATGTCAAGTTCATAGTTGAAACTTCTCTGGCGAGGGGTCAGGATACTATTCCGCCGAGCCTTGCTTGAACCAACACCAAGATCAGCACTATCCTCGCGATAGATTTCTTCCATCTCCTTCTCAAACACATCACGATCGAGCTCTTGCTGTCGTTCCTGTTCCAGAATCTCGTCGATGTCGAGGCCCAGGTGTTCTCGCATCAGGCGCAGTCGGAGAGTATGCGCGAACCGTCCAACTTGATAGGGCTTTCCAGCCATGGTTGATTCAATCATGTCTGTGTCACGCACAATCGCAGCGCATTCAGAGTCTCGTGTCCCAAGCATTGAGCGCTCGTTGATATTGGCAGATCCAATCAAAGCGACACGATCGTCAACAATGATTGTCTTGGCATGGATGTAGAGCTGCTCCGTCACGAGAGCATCGTTGCTCATCACACCCCATTGGCGCAGGCAATAGAAGCCGATGTAATCCTCAGGCTCGATGTCAAGGGCACGGAGCCGCCCAAATATGGATTGCTCCCCACGGCAAATACTCTTGTATTGGCACATAAGAATGAGTCTGACGCTGGTCCCTTCTTGTTCATCCACTGTATTCTGGAATCCAGGCATTAGAGGAATCATGATTGCACAGCGCCAGTCCTCCTCATTTTTGTGGGCGCGAATGATGCGCTCGACCAGAGCATCACCAATGCGATTGACAATCTTGGTGTTGTACGCTTCTGTACTCGTTATGAAGAACTGATTCTCCATGTATACGAAATGTTCTGAGTCCTCAATCATTTTGATGTAAGCATTTTGAATACTGTGTTCCGTCTCGTCTGTTCCAAGAGACCATGTAGTTGCGGAGCGAAGCATCTGCACTTCGCATGTTCCAGTCAGACCGAGGGCTTCCAACTCATCCAATTTAGCATCTGGAGGAGGCAGCAAGAACGGTAAAGGTCGGGTTGGCTTTCGTCCACGACGGAGATAGTTCCATCGCTGAACAAAATGGCGAGTCAAATCTCGCGCTGGTTGCCCAACAACCTGCATGGAAACGTCATGCCATGGCATTCGAGGGACCTTACTGCGATCGTACATTTCTTCGTATGGCTCGTTGAGTCTGAAAAAATCCTGAACTCTGGGGTTAGAGTAGTCCTTTCCAGGAAACAGCTGGCAGTGCTCTGCATCCTTTGGTCGCTCTGTCATCTCAAATCCAGTAGGTTTATCATCGACGATGGGGTGTTGCGGACTGTCCCAACGGCCAAAACACAAGTCGATACCACCAAGGAAGGCCACGTCGTGGTCAACAACACAAATCTTTTCATGGTGTGCAAAGAAAAATTGGTTCTTCTTGAATTGGTTAGGCGATCGTTGTACAAAAATATTTGGATGCAGGTTCAATAGTGAGAATTTGGTGTACTCGGAATCGATGGGAATGGCGGCCTCGACATTCCGGTAGATGATGATAAAAATCTTGACACCCTCTCTGGCTTTCTTCTGCAAGAGCCGGTCAAGACGCCACTTCTGGCTGATACACGCCGGTCGGCGCGTGTACAACTCGGGACTCAGCCACCAGTCATGAATGTAAATGACATCCCTGGCCATGTTGATTGCCCGAGAGACATTCCACATGTAGTCCCTGCCATCCACGAGCCACTGCGCGAAGACTCCATTTCGGACAGGCGCGAAACTGCCGAATCGCTTCTTCTCGTACCATGCAGTCTGTTTGAGCATTTCATTGATTGAATCCTCAAATTGTTTCATGACGGACTGATACCTTGAAAACAGACGTACTTTGCGCTCGGATGTATGCAGTGTCAGAGTATGGTGCTTTTGGGGGGGTGCCTCAACAGTGAGGTCAATCTCCTTCGCCTTGTCTTTTGAACCGATCTGTTGAAGCGCATTCTTCTTGGAGCTGATGCTAAACTTGGAGTCGACCAGATACACGTCGTAAATATTCATGTTTTCTGGTGACTCGACACAAACGATATAGCTCTGGCGAACCAAGAACCACTTACGGCTGTGGCGAGCAATGACCTTTGCTGGGGTCAGGACTCGGCGAAAATCAAGTCCCTTGGATGACTGTATGTGCAGATAGCCCTCTTTGCCATGATAGCTGCCCTCTGCAGCAAGACGGACGCCAAGAGCAGACAGCTCCAGAAATCGACAAAGGCGGTTGCTATCAGCTCTGAACATGAGCCATCGTATCATTTCTGATAGGTATTTTTCAAGAATGCGTCTTTGTTTCTCCACGTAGCGTTGTCTGCGTGTGGCTATGTCGATAGCTTGAGCGGTGCCCTCAGCATTTGACAGCTCCCCGGGGTCCGTAAATCCAGTTGAGCGTCGTCTCATGCCCCATAAATTGGCACGCGACTTTTTCCTCATCGGCTGGTGCTGTTCGTCATGTGTGCCGTCTCCATGGTCCTCAGGCGCGGTACCCTCTCCGCCTGTGCCTTCTCCAGCAGTCTCATCGGCCCGGACACTGGCCCGTTCATCCTCATCGCTGTCATCATCTTTGTTCCGAGCTCGACGCAGATACGGGAAAGCAGAATATGGGAACTTGGGCTGCTTCGGGCGCCCTCCAAGATCACGGCCGAGCATATACTTATCATTATTGAGAGCAAATTTGTACCTGAAGTGAAGATTGTAGATGTCTCTGATGGTTCGAATCACTGTCCAGCACATTCGACTCGGGCCACTGCCGTATTCGAGTTCGATGGTGAAAATCCAATGTCTGTCTTTATCGTCATCCGGGATCGGCGAACTATCTTTAATTTTGAGCTTCAGTTGTTCGAGGAGAACAGGGATCCTCTTATTCCCGTGCTCGTCCCTTTGAATCATACTAGCAAGCATCAAGACTGCTGGCGCACCAGCTCTAAGCTCCGCCATCAGTTCTGCAGATTTAAAGTAGTCAAACCGATCTTCCTTCTTCTGCCGCAAGAGCTTCAGTGTACTTTTTACCTGCTTCCACTTTTGTACGCCAAAGTTGGAGGCCCGTTCAGAGTTAAAGAAAGGCCGGCGGGGCGTCATAGCATCACCATCAGAAACGCCGCCTCCGCCAAATACAGTGATTCGTCGCAAATGGCCATTGCGGCGACCAACAACGGCAGAACTTTCCATGTCGTTCAGGTCGTCATCTTCGCCAGGTGGTTGCGTGGTCGTTCCCATGAATGAGTGTCCACG